TTTAATTTTTATCTCGCATTCCTCACGCTACCAAAAATTTGATAATATTTTAAAGAATTCAATACCTCACTAAATGTCGCGTACCTAACAAATTTTCAAACTCGATTTTCTCGCAAATGACGCCCCGTATGAATAAACTATATTCCTCGTTTTCGACTACACTTTATGTGAGGAATCATCCCCTTGCCGGTTGTACCACGATTTCGTAAACAACCTGTATTTAAACGGCTCGGTTCGTGTATTAATATAACGCGAACACAGTAATAGCGGCGTCTGAGGGAAATCGTGTTGTAGAAACACGATGTTACGGGTTCAGTACACGGCCTAATTCGCACTTCATTTCGTCGAATGGAAATTAAAGTAAATCTGGTTTAATGTCGGCCACCGCCACCGCGCCGGAACGGTTTAACTGCAGCTGGTACTCGCGTAGCCTCGGAACAAATAATCGTACAAACGCGGATTATTCGATCGTTTACATCTCCCCGATTGTTCGGGCGAAATTGTGCGAGCGAGAGAGTGGGACTCGAATGGAAATCAACCTTCGAATGAACACTCGCTCGTTTTCTGCTTTCACGAATACTAAAAGGCCACTGATGAATTCAATGCGTCAGCTACCTTCCCAATTTTATTACTTCTATCGAGTGACCTGGTGTTCGATATTGACGGTAATTTTTCGTACCATTCGTTTGAGGTGTAATTCGAAATTCTTGTGTCAACATTTCGGAATGATAAGAGAACACCGAAGAATGTCTTTTCTTATCGCTTAGATCGCACATAAACTGAAATATAATATTAAACTCTAAATGATAACTCGTATATAATGCGACCACGTGTCCAACGTACAAGCATGAAGCAGCAAGGGTGCATTCATACATACATACATACATGTGTGAGGCTGACGGTGTCTCACAGAAATATAAGTCGACGTGACATAAAAAGCCCGGCTGAAATGGGTTATTATGAATAATTCGTATTACTTCCCCGAAAGCATCGGAACCAACTTTACTCTGTACAACCCGGCGGAGTCCTATAATGCAATTTCTACTTTTTCCAACCGGGCTCGGAATCGGATTTTATGATGCACTCGAGCCAGGAGTTCAGGAAACAGCGTCCAAAATGAAGCCGCGGCATCAGTGGGGCGGGTTAATTCGGGTAATCTAATAAAAATTGTTCGCCCTCCGTTTCCAACTACGAAGAGAACGGTCGGAGAGACAAAACTGTTTCTAAATTTAAATGAAACTGGTATTTGTTCAGTAGATAACGAATTTAGTGGACGGACCTTCTATAAACGCTTTAAGTATGAAACAAACATAGGCCGAACCAATAATAATCATCGTATTTACTGATTCCGTTAAGGATGTATTGGGTATACAGTCAGTACCAAAAGTTTATGTACCTTAGAAAAACGCATTTCCTATAATTAAAAAGAAATCAGACGTCGGAAAAATAATGCTAATAATAAATATCTACTAAATAAATCTAACTCCTACTAAATACATCCTTAAAGAACTTCGTAAGTGTCAATACGGATATTCAGTAAACCGTGTTGATAAAAATAAAACAAATGTATCGATTCTATTTTTACTGTCCACATTCGCGCGGTTGAGTCCAGCCCTGGTTTCCGGCTGACGAGGTGCCACGCACGGTGGTCGTTCGCGCGAAAAAATGGGCCATAAAGCAAACCCGATTGAATACCCAGTGTGCATCCTCCGACGCGGTGCAATTCGCGGCGTGAAGTATGGACGTAATTAACACCAGCGACGATTTGAGTTATCGCGTCCGTCCATTGTTAGTCGCTACTGAGAAATTCTCCGTTGAAAATCGTGGCTGCACGACGTCGTCTCGTCGTCATTCCGTTTCTCTTCTGTTGTCAACACGCGATGGATCGACAACGGAAACGAACAACACCTTCAAGGTAACGAAAACCGGGTTAACAATCTTCGACATGAAATCCTCGGTTAAATATCGCCGCCTCGGAATCCTCACGGTCGACGGACAAAATTATTTTGGAAGAATAACATCTCCCCGATATTCTACAGCATATATCAACGTCCAAACAAATGCAAATTTAACGATCATATGAATTCATTACACTCGTTTTCAGTAAGCGGATTTACGAGATTCCGAGTTGGGTTATATTTGCAAAAATAATAGAGCAAGCGAAATAGGAATCTCCCAAAAAAATAAATATATACTGACAATGAAGATGATAGAATACCTTTATTTGAAAATCAGGCTTAATATTTTATTTTATTTATTGACGCAATCTCATCTATTTTTGTTACAAAAAAGAGGTATTCATTACGAGCAATTAACGTTTCATTTTCAGAAGACATTCGTGAATGCAAGTTAAATAGCTTCCGAGACCTAAGCAAATTCTTACCTCTGTTTCCAAAGTTCAGTAATGCAGGTAGTACAATACTCTTAATTATGCCGACGAATAATACCGGTGGATACAATGAACACCGCGGTATCGTACGAATACCGTTATTACGCCGAGTTATACGGGTCAGAAAACCGGCATGATCAAATCTTCCGGGTAACGATGAAACAAATTAACAGCGTTACGCGTAATGGAAGAAACGAGTGGAATGATTGATACACATTTTTCTGAAACGCTTCGCGGATTAACCCGGGCATCGTGTCGTGCGTCATCGCATATGCTTTTAACTGAATTCTCGGAATTCTGCAGCCTCGGTTCAATCGGTTTTTAATTACGAATAGAAATGATAAAGAAATGAAATTATTCAGAGATTAATTGTAGAAGGAAATAAGAAGATTTCGCTGTCAATTACCTGTTTCAGTATGATCGGGAATTACGTAGAAACAATATTGTACACCTAATTTATCGATCCGTCCAGTGTATTAGGCATCCCACATCTCCGCGAGATTGTAACGTTCGAGCATGCGGCGTTACAAATCGAATTATGCACGTGCCGGAGGTTCGCTGGGCTCGTTGAAAGCCACGTCTCTGCGGGTCGAGTGTCGTGAACAATTCGCGTTAAAGCTCACCGAGCAATCTTCAGAGGTTTCTCAAACGGATACAGATAAAAGCGACACGATTTTCACGAAATCCTTGCGACTTGCATTTCGAGAACACAAAATAAAAACTCGTAACGTGTTTCAATCCCTGAATCCCAATACTACGAATTCGATGCGTTCAGAGAAGAACGTAAATGTATAAAGAATCCAATTTATAGAATATTAAAAGTATAATAGACTTCATTATTTTTTAACGATGTCACAAAAATTCACGATGGAACTCGTTTCGGCTAACGTTTTTCAGCCGCGAAGAATTAACCTTCGGTTGCACGCGCAAGTTCACGAGACGCGAATTTACAAATTACCATTTTCACTCGGCGCACGTCCTATTCACTTATGAAAGTCTCGTGACCCGTTCCCTTCTGGTTTCTTTTTCCCACCATTCGTTTTCCTTCGTCGAACTCTGGCGACGCGTCGCGTTTATATACCGTTATCGTTCGAGGGGCCCGTCGAGAATTCAGAGTACTACGGTTCACCTTAGACTCTGATTAAATGATAACTTTACGATGTCCAGTTTGCTTTCAACTGTATCGGATCGATGTACGGTATTGTTCAATAGAGGTGAGACATAAATGTTCGATCGTACGAACCGAACGATTGATAACAAGAATTGCCTCGCGCGAACCATTTCGTTATCTCGTGAATGTCTAATGTAAAATACAGGTAATAATGAATTGCATTTCGTTTAGTTATTTTTTCAGTGATAAGCGGCCGGTTTAAAAGTCATGATTATCGAACCGCTTTGATAATCTAATGGTAGCATGGAATATCGATAAAACTAAGTCAGGAAATGAATTCTGTCGAGATTTTTATCTGTGTATTTGGGAACAAGATTAACGATATTGAGAACTGATTAAATTATGAAAGAAAAGTAAAATTCTTCTGCATTTTAAGAAGTATTCGACGAGAGTCATAAATATTAAAAATAGAAATTAAAAAAAGCGACTGTAAGTGAATACCTTCTGGGCTGAACTTCGCTTTGACGGAAATTCTTGTGACTATTCACGATGTTATGATTTCCGTCTGTACAAAAAGAAATAGAGAGAAGTGTCCCCCGAGACGAAATTTTATCCATCTTCTGCTTCATAATCAGAATTTTAATGCGTTCCTCGTGAATAGCGTTTCAACAGCTATTGTCGCGATGAAATCGTTTTGTGACTATAGAAGAGGGATCGCACCGATGCACGTGTCCTTGCAGATCGAGTAACGTGTCTTCTCGAGCTGTTCGATTCACTCATCGGAGGGAACTTTATACATGAGACCTTTCACTCGTTTTATTAATCACCGCCGAGGTATGCTGCATTTACCTATTTAACGTTCTTCGCGGGAAAGAAACCGGCTTCTCACCATGAATAATTTATCCTTTAATAAAGGTCCGAGGTGGCTCGTGGCCGGTACAGATCGGGGAACACGAGTTTCGGATTTTATTAAGAAAAGAGAAATCGCTCAAATTTTTCGAACGTGTTCTTACGTTATTCAACAGAAGCTACGATTGATTACTGGTATTTGCGCTTCAGTTTTACCGTGCAAGAACAATGATTAATATAAATAGCACAACGTCAATGTAACAGTTTATAATTAACTCGACGACTGATGTCGTTGCGGGATGAAAAAAGATTTGGTCTCGCTACGTAATTCTAAAGGATAAACCGTATAAAATAGCCTTCGTTAAAAGAGGATTAGTCTAAGATCCTGCGAAGGACGTCGGGAGAAGACAAGCTGGTGTGCCGCATTCCATTAAACGGAATACCAGCGAAGCCGGTAGGAGGAAATCTGCGGCTAGCGAGAACGAGACGGTTCTACGGTAAATCGGAAACGCGATTATATCGTAGAAGAAGCAATCCGTGAACGTGACCACGTCGAATATAACACGTATAGAAATCCACGCAGTAGCACCGTTACAACGCACACCACATGGTCGGGTGTCGGCCGCGTGACACGAGCTAAAAAGACATTACCTGTTTTACGTTGCCCGATAGCGTGCCCTTTCGATCGACGTCCAGCTTCCGGTTCACTCGACGTCGCTCCTTTATGGGACCACAAAACAAGTCTGATGGTTAATGGTATCGTTCGGTCGTCGGTTTTCTACCCTCCTCTACTCCACCGATGCACCGCACAAAAGTCTGTTATTAAACGCACGGTAAATAGATGGCGGAATTCCCGTCGTGACGGAATATGGATACGTCCGGGACACGTTTCGCGATCCTTTGATACACGTCACGGAACGTTCGCGGGCCACGATTGTTCTTCGTGTGCAGCAGGACGAAAGGAAAGCGGGACGCGGAATGCGCACACGGTATGCGATAGATCAGAGAGACGCCAGGTGCGAGCAGCGGACGATCGGTCGAACTTCTTTCAACGACGACCACGACGAATGTGCACTTCGCTCGCGACGGTCAACGCTGTCACACACGACACGACGACGAGACACACGCGCCCGGACCCCTCCTCCTCCTCCTCTTCCTTCAGCCGTGACACAACGCGCGACCGTTTTCCGCGAGCAACGGTTGATCAGCACGGATCTCATTGATGATACGCACCTCTTATGACCTAGTAACGAGAACGCCTCCAGGTGCACATCCCGCGCGCGTATTGCATATGTGTAACGTCTGGCAACGTCCGACGCTGTGGAGTTATCACCGAGGTTAGGGCAACGACGGTGGGGGACACCTGTTCGACATCCGTAGCACCACTTTCTATGCTTCGACGCCGGTGCGACTGGGTCTACTATCGATACTGGGCCCCCGATATGCGTTCGAGAAACCAGAAGTCGAGACTTATCGGACCCAACGCGACACGGCGGTCTTCGACTCCATTCACGCTCCACTCGCTCTCATTGATTCCGCCGCAACGACCAATGCGTCGCTCGCGGTCGCTGCCCCAGTTACGTTCGCCGTTACCACTGATGATAATGACACAAATAATCATTCTTCTAAAAATATTTATTCTATATTCTGTTCATTGTTTAGTATAAAAATGCTAGCAATTTGTACAAGGTATAATAGTCTTCGCTCAATATCATCTTTGCTTAGGGTCACCACACGTCCTCTTTTCCCCGGACATTCAAAATCTAAATATATATACGTATCATCGTATCACACGTATCATACGTATAAAAATATGTCCTCTTTTTATCCCCTTCTCACAAAAGAAAATCATGACAATCCTATCGTCTGTATTCTTATGCAGTGAAAAACAGAACAAGTGGAGTGGAGTGGAAAGGAAGTAGCAACTTGAAAATTTCAAGATTAGAAAGATAGAAACGTTCGTTTGAATCCCAAGCAGAGGCGCTACTTCCGGCGTTCGGCGAGTGGTGAGGATGTCAGCTGGTGTGGCAGAGAGCCACCACACCAGTCGTCTAGGACGCGATCCGTGCAAATGGCGTCACTGCCAGCATGAGCGAACGTATGCTGTCTAATAACGCGTACGGGCCTCGTCCGGGCGCGGCGCCGCGCGGCCCAGCCTGACGGCGAGCGTGAGTGCGACGATATTACTCGACATCGTAAAGAAAATTCGTCGAGTACCTACCGAGTTTGGAAATCTGTTTCGTCGCGTTCGTGTACATATTACTAACCAGTGGTGACACACAGTGAAATAAAGAGAGGTGAGTGCCAGATATGCAAAAGAGTCGAGGAGGAAAAAGAAGAACTGTGACCCTTGAGAAAAGTGCCGTGAAACGCATACGTGCGTTGCAATAGTACGGATCCAGCGAGTCCGTCGTGTAACACGCGCTTAGGATAACTTCCCGATCGTCCGTGATTTTACTTTTAACGTACAACGAATCTGTAGTAGGTATATATCCCGTAGTATTGTTTTCGATGCTTCGAGAGATTCTGAGTTGTCGTATCAGTATGACAAAAGGCGCGAGCTCTGAAATAAAGACAATGCCTTAAAGCCATCTTCTAAGCGAGACGGACGAAGAAGATGAAAAGAGAACGCGCAATAACTTGTCCTGACAGGTGCCATGCGTCTATCATTGCCAAATTTATCTATTTTACGTTGTATATTATAGATCCTTTTGTAAATGTGAAGTGCATATCAGTCTCCTATTGTTCGGACCTGAACTCAATACACGCTCTTTTCGATTCCCTTAGCCGCGATCAAGGAAAGAAATTTCATTTATCGTTTGCAATGATTAAATAAATTTCCTTATCGCCTTTCGCGGAAACTTTTTTAACGTTATGCGCTCTGACAAGCTATTTGAATATGCTGTTCGTTATCGCGTAATCAGGGACGGCCATGTTTTCCCCAGCTAAAAAACACGTTTCTCACGCGCACGTGTGGGCGAAGCAGAATGTTTTTGTTTGCGACGCGGCTGCGACGAGCTCCTAAATACGATCGACGCGACGATTGCATAAGAGATCGAGGTGTGCCCATCCGAACAGATTTCTGGCGTCGTAAAAAGACCTCGGCTAGTTCGCGTCCGACCATTGCCAGCTTGTTTCTTACGCAGATTAGAAAACAAAGCGAGCGAGCCGAGTGCTTTCCCTTCAATGATAACGCGCGCGTTAAGCAGCGGGTATTTTAGGACGGGAACACGTTTGATAGAAAAATATACGTGATATTTTAATTACGTCACACGCTATCTTCGCGTATTTTCCACGATTCTAGTTTATCGGTGGGGACAGATATACCGATAGAGTCTGCGGTTGTACGATCACTTCTGTTACCAATTTCGATGATATATTTCGTTGTCCGAGATTGTAAAAGAATTTTTCAAATTACGAGCAAAGGAAAAAACCTTCGCGTACGAGCGGATAAGGCGGTTAACCTTTGCGATACGAAGCGATACCGGGGTGAAAGGGCATTAACACTTTTAAGATAACAATGTCGTGGAGTATTAAGATCATTTATTAAATAGAATTGTTGCAAATTTCGATAAACAGGCTTGCGAAATGGTACGAGGAATGCGAATAGGAGTGACAGGATAAGTAATAGTTTTGTTGAACAGTTTTTGATTTTTTGTTAGCTTCTACGGGACCAGAAAGGGAATTACAATTGCGTACGTCGAACCTCGTTCTATTTAACAGATTAAAAATCTATTGCCAGTTGTTAATACCTGCTTGTTAAATAAAAAATAGTCTTCTCCCTCTAGAACCGGTTATAACGGATGAACTCGTAATTTACGATATCGAACACCGACTGTACGAATGCCTGTTGAAATGGATTCGATTTCCGTTAGACGTTTTCGTAACCCGTGGAGGTTTCCACGCGTAAGTTTACTACGAGTATCTAATATAACGCGCGTTCAATATTAGCATTAATGAATTGCTGAACTTTAAAATCACCATTCACGAATCATATACGTAATCTCTTTAAAGATTATTATGAAATTTTTATGATTTATTCCGATAAGCGGTTGAAGAAAAGAAATATATATTAGGAAAGTACGTTGGTCCGTGTAATACGATTTTCTGATCATTCAGCGGATTAATTAATTCTGTCATTGGAATGCGAATGGACCTCGGGAACTTTCTAATATTTATTTAGTCTTTTGCGGCTTGCAGGAAATTATCGCGCAAAATGAAAATCAATTCTGCGAATCATTCTCTATAAGTAGAATCGATTGTGTTTAATTTTAAACGTGAAGCACTCGCGGATTTCTCGAAGGAATCACTGACCATTAAGAGTTCTGGCACTGCCAGGCATGTTTTCATGGAAAGGAGAAACAGATTTTAACGATCCCCGGTCATTCAACTGAGGCACGAAGGATGCATTCTTATTTTCAACAAGCGTTTTCATTTAATTACAGTGTAAAATGAATTCGAGTGGTTTTGAAGTTTTGGTCAATTGGCATTTGCAAAGATGGTATTCGCGGAGAGGATCTCAGTAACGGGAGGACAAATAGCGAATTCGAACGGAGGAACTTATCAGCTGTTCGATAACATTTGTTGTGTCTGGCGGGAAAGGATTCATATCGGGACTGTTGAGCGCGCTAGCATTTTCGCGTAACGAGGTCGACGAATATTTAAGGCTGCCGCATAAAAATTTATTTCTTTAAATTTTTCTAAGAATCTACAAATGTTGATTTAAGTGCTCGGAAACTAAATACTCGTCACGGTATTAAAAGTCTTGATATTCAATCCCAAAGGTGAACAGGAGATTCCTAGACAAAGCTTGTTCAAAAGAGTCATTTTTACGAAAGTTTTCTTAATGTATCTGGATCAAAATATAAAATGAGAAGTAAGGAATTAATCCGGAGGTGGCTTACGATATTCGATTTCGCTAAGTAGTCGTTCAAAGTAATTTGAATAATTTCTAAATTAGTCACGAGTAACGAAGGGAAACAACGACAATGTTACATCGATCCACTCTAAGCACGAATGCAAACTGCATAATAGTAATCATGGCGCAGAAAATTGTATTAAACGTTAATGATCACGACTGGTCCTCGCTTTTTAAGCTAAAAGAAAATAAAGATTTCACGGACGATCGGGAAACACCGGAAAAAGAAGATATGCCCGCGTGAATTCGTATCGACGCGTCTGTGATTCCCCAGAGCCCGTGCCAAGGAGGGATGCAGGCCGAACTGATATATAGGAAACCGTTGACGATGACCACGACGCCTTCACAAACCTTTCATCGTCCTGAGGCGGGAAGAAAGGACAACAGAGATTCCCGCGAGACCATCCACTCCGGACATTTCATGGTCTCGGACTTCGAGGCCGAGGCTCAGGACGACGAGGACGAACTTGCGGTACCCGTGCCGGAGGAGGAAGCCGTAAAACTTGCGATCATCGCCTCGCCTGGGCCCTGGCATCAGAAGTTTGTCAGCAACTTCTCGGGTGACAAGAGTTCTCAGCAGTTGAGCATCGAAACATCTTTAAACAAGCTATTTCAGTGCATGTCGCTTGCCTACAGGTGAGTTTCTCTTTTCCCTCGGTTTTCCCCTGAAAGCTGTGCCGTTTTTCTTTGCACATACGAAATATCCTTTTATTTCTTCGGTTGAATCTGTGTGTATTTGGTTCTATTAAAAAGAACTCCACTTGCGTGTTAAAAAGAAATGATAGACAACGACTCCATAAAAAGATTTTACCATAAAATATAAATGTGAATGAAATAATATTATAGTTGAAACAATTGTATCATTCCTACAGTTAGTTTTGTACAATCATTTTGTATTTATCTAAATTATTTTGAAGAAAAAATAAAACAGTAGATTTATAGATCATAGAATTGGCAATTTGTAATGGATTTAAGATGATGAAACGATCATTTAAGAATATGTGAAAATAAGTAATTGATGTATTACTCGAACGAAATACTTGAGATTTTACAGAAACTTTTGTATGCACTGTTGTGTTCCCGCGAATAAGGATTCCAGTTGTGTGTGTAGATGTAGAGTTTATTCAGATTGCTCAGGAGTAGAAGATATACGAAGTGAACTGTAGGACTGGTTAAGGAATGAATCTACTTTAACACTAGATTAACTTTAAGCTTATTAACATAAATGAATAGTGCTTATGAACTATAGAAATAAGTATATGAAAAAGAGGAAGTAAATTTCATGAAAGTTACAAGAGCTAAAGACAGAGTGTCCGGAAAGGAAAAAACCATGGGGTGGATACCCTTTGTCAAAAGGTCCTCGAAAAAAGTAGAGGTCTTCGGTGACCGTTGCTTAATTCTTTGTTAGGAGTCGTACAGATGTTGGAGTATCCAACAGCACCTATGTTCTTTCGATCAAATATTTGAGAGGAATAAGAATCGAACTTTATCCCGTGATGTCAGTGAACATGGACGAAGTAATCGCGTTGTAATTCCGTGATTACAATGTCGGAGGCGTTTTGCAAGAACCCGCGTCTCTTACCCGGCGTTCCGCGCAATCAACTCCCTTGGGAGATTAGTAGGCCACCGCCAGATTCCAGTTTGTATTTCGAGCTCTCTCGGCAACCGAACAAATGCCGTGCCGATCGACATTCCGGCTGATAACGGACAATTAAATTAATGAAGAAGAGGCCGTAGAACCAAACGACACGCCACAATTAAACCCGGCCTCGGCGAAGCCCGCCGGACAATTTCCGTTTTTCCATTCTGAGCTCTTCTTACACGATCGCTTTGAACCTTTCCTCGCTATATTTAGAGTCGTAATTAGGTCTACGAAGTCTTTAACGTTCGGCCGCAGTCTCATTCACCAGGAAAACAATCGATATCGTTGAAAGGAACGCAGTTCGTTGCAACCGGCCTATTTTTAACTCCCAATCGACCAGGCGGGATATAAATAGAACATTTCGACGTCTGTTTATCGGTAATTAAGTTTTTATTCTCCTCGGTCTTCGTATCTTGTTCTCCCAATAACAAGAGTCGTGAAAAATGCATGTCGAAATTGTTATTACGCTCTTGTCTTACCATATATTAATCCACTCCGCGATAAAGATAACGACGCCGTAAAAAGAATTCATGTAAAGAGAACTGCTCTTATGCATTTAGAACGATCTTGATATCAATTTCGATGAGTATTGCTATCGCGCGGTAGTTATCAGATTTCGTATACAAGATTTCGAATCTACCTTTGCCCCTAAGTGAGACACGTGTACGAATTGCTATAAACATGTTCTCACTCTTTCCTACGATTATAATTACTATTTATTCAATCCCTTACGAATATCGTAGTAAATAACGTAATAAACGTGTTAACAGAAGATGCACGAGATGGGCATACGTGAAATAACTTACGCAAACAACTTGTATACTATTACTATACCTATTATGACTACTTATATTAAGTACGGGTAATTTGTTAATTACCAGTATATTTTACCACCTCGTTATCGCTTGTTTCCGCGGTCGTTCGAAATTCACAGCTTAGTACATAATTACACCATGCTGTTTGCTTAACGAAATTTAATTCCCTCATTGACGTTCCTTTGCTGATCTCGAAAATACCACAGGAAATCGTAAGACTTTTATGTAAATCATGGTGACAGAAAAAATGCACTCTTTCAACATACGCTAATTTTTTGGTATGCCATATATTATACGTGATTGGTAGTCTTCCACTAATTTGTTTTTAATATATATATATATATATATGAAGTTTATTTCGCTCTGTTAGCTCAGAAATGGATTTTCCTATTCCTCCATATCCTAACTAATTCTTTTGGTAAGTTATACGTGACTGACATTTTTCGTATCTTCTCTAAATACAATTTGAGATCGGATAATAGATGAGGATGATATCGTAGTTCGACAGATAGGGCCACAATTATTATTGTTCCGCGCTCGTGATGAAAGGGTCAATCGATTGATGATGATTTATGTCGGAACTGCAATTGGACGCGCGAAGTGAAAACGCGTATATATTTTTATCGGCCACGGAACGAAGATATTATTGTCATAATGACGCAACGTACGTACATAAGCGTCTGTGACACGCTCGCAATTTTGTTTACCCGTTTCAATGTGTCAAACAGAAAAAATAAACACAACTGATTAATACAAAATTAATGTCTCTTACATATCGTAAATCCTACTTAATCCGGCGATAGGCCTCTGTATCAAGTGAAATATTAGGTGGAATATGTAACGTCGGACACACCTCTTATCCTTCCATTCGTGTTCAATGCTGATAAGCATGTATCTTATCTGTACTCGACTAATAATTTGATAGATATATTTCATCAACCGACTGGGGTGCCTGGCATTCGGAACAGAAATATTCGAAGTAGCCAGCAGGAAAATATTAAGTAATTCACATCATCGAATTTTGAATAATGCAATAACCGGGAATTAGATTTTGATGAATGATCGTAATCAAAACAGGTGACCGAAGGAGATGGAAACATTTGTGCGACGGGATATATCAAGAGTCGGCAGTACGCGATGACGAATTCAAATATGTATACATATTTATCTCGTCAAGCTCGTAGCTCGGTTCGCTTGTCCGGCACATACACATTACACATTTAACAGAGTACTTGCGTTTGCAGTGACGTCATTGTTGTTACTGCATTCTTCGAGCAATATTAATTTGAGAGTATGTCATGTTACGACCTTGTTATCGTTACACTTTTCCTCCCGCCATCGTTTCAAAGTGCAATTGCATTAACTGGTATTAATCTAAACATTCTCTTCGAGCCCTTTAATGTATCTTACAATTCTATTATCTCTTGGAACAGTAAGTGATGTTCGATCATGATTGAACAGCTCAGGGCGACAAACGATCAGCTTGATTTTGACATGACTGATTGCATGACTTGGATTTTTTAATCGTTTGAAGCAATAAACGATATGTCCGTCTGCTGCGTGCCGTCATAATATGTTTGTTGTCCTACCGTATTCGATAATAGAAAGCGGTAAAGGAACTGCGAGTTCGTTCCTCTGGAACAGACCGAAATCACATTTTAATTCTCTTTGATCTTACATGAAGAAACACTATAATAGTAACATGTATTACATGAAAGAAATGGGAAACGTCTTCTGATTGTTGCATGTATCAATTCCTTTGTCGAGCGATTGTGATTCAGAGGTCGGGAAAGAGGAAGTGAATAAATCCTAGTCTCGTGCAGAGTAAAGTACGGCAGTGGTTCCGTCGGACGCGTGCGTAGCTGGAAAAAGTGAATCGAGCTAAATTACCGTAAAGGCCTGCGTGTCACCACGACGTGTCTTTTATCATGCAAGGCCACTGCGTCACAGACACACCGCTCGCGTGTACCAAACACGCTCGCGCTTCTGCCACGCGAGACCACCGCCTTTCCCTACTTTGTCTCTCCACAAATTTTTTTCTAATTCTTCTAATTCCGCTCAATCTGGTTTATTCCTTCTATTTTAATTCCTTTATTCCAAGATTATTTCACTTTTACTATAAGATTTTCGAGTTTCCTTTTCTCTCCCAGCACGATGCTTCTTTGTGTTTTTATCAGTTTCTAATGTCATCTTATCTTTGAATAAAACATTTGAATTCGACACACGCAACGGATATAAGATTATTATTAACAATCTCTTATTTGAGGCAACATCGATGAAATTTAGGAATATAAATTTTTCGAGATCATTGATAATGTTTTTTTATCTGTTTGACGTTCTCGGTTAAAAATTTATAGCGAACCCAATGAAAGTCACTTGGATATTTTTCTCCGCGTTGAAGCGTGAAATGGAACACGGTTACAAACACGTGATTATTTATGACGCGATTATTTGTGCAGATAATATCGACGCCGCCTCCCGAGTCCGTTTCCGTCGAAATCTTCCTATGTTTCGAATTCTCCAGTCACTCAGACATTTAAATTATATTCCGAAAACCTCGAACAAGTCGTTTGCAACCGTCCTACCTGTACCCGTCGTAATTAGATCTGTTAATCGAAGCTCGGAACGATTGCAATAATTTGCGCAAGTTGATGACGACAAAAAAAAGAGAGAGAGAGAGAGAGAGAGAGAGAGAGAGAGAGAGAGAAGCGAGTTATAAATTTCTCGACTTTGGTTCTCTCGGATAATAGATCCAGTCACCAACAACAAAATTCGTTATCTGATAACGAGATTCGGGCTAATTAATCGCGAATTTAGAACGGGAAACTTTCCTGTGTTTATTTTTCTCTGCTATCGATAAGATTCGAATATCCTTCAATGGCCTGATCGATTATAATTTTCATAAAATGCGAGTGAGTTCAAGTATTCCGCAGTTTTATTCTTATTATCTAATCAAAGAAATGAAAATGTTTGGTGGAACTCGGTTGGCTAGGGTCTAATGCCAAGGAGAGAATGTTCGTACTTATCAAGTGACAGCGGCAAGCGATCATCTCTAAATCAAATAGTTTCACTGACTTTTAAATTCCAAAAAGCCTATAATAATATTCTTATATTTTATACAATATTCTACAGAAATCACCATGGGAGATCGCATAATCTTTATTCCTGCTTCGATTTCCACGACTACGTTTAATACAACGAAAAAGATTTGATGATGAATCAGTATTAAACTCATCTATACATCTTTGATCTTCGTCGGTTACCTCGATCGATCGCACTTCCTTTCTCTTTACATTCGCCGTCCTCTTCTACGTTTGGTGCTAACGATCAAAGATCAGAATCGTGTCTCTTCTACGTTGAGACCGACAGTTCAGGCCGGAAATCTTCGCGACTCGTTTCTTCTCCCAATTATATTTAGAGCCGTGCGTCTCGTTGAAATAAACACGGTAGTGTTTGCTGCTCTCGGGCAAACACGTTCCACCGACAATAGATCGTAAGAATCATGAGTGTTATTGCAGAGATAAGATGATCCCTCGATTGAACCGGTTCGTCAGAAAGATTAGTTTAGAAGTAAAAAGTTCAATACCCAAGGAGACGCGGCGATAAACGGCCGGCTTAGCTCACTTCACATCGGTATTAGAACATTTATCAAGATGCGTCAAAGCTCTCCCGATTAACAACTTTTACAACGACGTTAATGCGCGTTCAACAACTTCCTCGAACGAGTCCGCAGATAAACTGTGTTTATTTTTCATGCACCGTCTCAACCTTTGTTTGCCGAGAATTTACATTCACCGGCGTTCCATGTTTTTCACGATCTTGTCCCGCGGCTTAATACGCGCAGCTTCCAACCCCATTGCGATTACGCAAACTCTCCGTCTATTTTAGTTACATGACGAGAAGAACGCAGCGTTCCGAGTTAATTATTTCGTTTTCTTCTCGTCGAACGGTCGGGTCAACAATTTTTTCACACGCGAAATGTTTGCAGTCGGTATGACGTATGGGCATATACATTTGTTCCAGACAGAAATTGACATCGCCCAAGTGGAATCGGTTCAAAGGGATCAGGCTGAGATGGAAGGACAAGATCAGACTGAACAACGTCATTTGGAGATGTTGGCATATGCAATGTAAGGACACGCTCACCAATCCAAAACATATATTAGCATTTCTTTCTTGAAACAGAATATTCATCGTTCCGAATATTGAATTCGTCTAAGAGGCCTTACCGCCAAAGTGACCGCCAAAAACTTAGGAGAAATTTTTCAATTTTTCCTTAAAAAAAATTGTCATTTTTTCGTTGCTCAAATTACAGTTTTCACCCAATCAAGAATATCCTAGATCATTCAACAATAAAGCATGTCTAGAACACTCTGTTAAAATTTCAAGTCAATCGAATAATTGGTCTTTGAGTTATAGTGTCAGCAAATTTGAAAAATACCATTTCGAGAAAAACGCGTTTAAAGTATTAAATATTACATTATTACTATTAGCAGGCTGCCATTCTAAAACTAGTTGAGATCCGACCTTAAAATTTTAACATATTTTCGAAGGTATAAGCTTTCGAAAAATACAAAAAGAATTCGATATTTCTAAAGTTTCACACTGGTAAGGACCCTTAATAGAGACCTTACGGCTCGTATAACTTTAGTTATATCATACTACGATAAAGTTCTTAAAATATGTATTACATTATGTAAAATATAATCGATCGGCGAGACGTGGAAGACGTTACGGGTGCAAAGAGCAACCGGAAATATTACAGGGAGTTCGTGCCACATCGAGTGGTTAATTTTGCTGACCTTTAACAATCGTTTCGCGTGATAACTGCCGGAGCTGCGATGATAAGTGTCGCTCGTTCGTTTTATTTTTCTGGCCGCGACAGCTCCTTTTCGCTCGGGTGAATTGTCATGGCCAGCGGTCGAGGGTCGTGCCACGACGCATACAATAAAGAACGCAATTTTCCAGAAAAAGGCAATTTTCATAAGTTATTTCTATTTAATTTGGTTATTACATCTCGCATCGTGTCAGCGGAAATAGTTTGAGATAAACAAATTGAGATCTCGTAATAATTTGTGAATTACATCAATTCAAGTTATGTCAATATGATTTATGATTTATGAATTCGTAATTATTATGTTACACATCATTTTACGAAGATAATTTCTTCGGTAATCTCTAAATGACATGATTATATAGTATTTCGAAATACTTCCCACAATGAGACATCAAGTCTTTCGCAATCTACAACTTATCAATCTGATTTATTAATCTCCGGTTGTCATCTCTAAATAATAATCGAAAACCTTAAAATATTCTATTACGAAACGAAAGATACTCAGATTTCACTCGAACGAATTAAACGGGAATCGAGTTGAGTTTTTTTTAACCGGCGTGCCGCGATTTTTCATCGAGTCACGATCTAAGCAGAAAGGTGGCGAGATAGAGCGTAATCTAAAGCCAAATTAAATTGATTCAAGATATCTGCAGTCGCGAAAATACGACATACGGTGGTAGATAGACGCGACGGTGTTGGACAAGATAAAGAAATACATATCGCGCGCACGTGACTAGCCAGTGACAAAGAATCCCCGCCAGAGGCTACAGCCTCCTTTCCGATTTTATGCGAAACGACCGAGCAGCTTCAGTTTGGTGAATATCGTATCGTCGTAATCTTCGAAATTCTAGTCGCGGTGCAATTTATAGTTCGCTTCCCCCGTTCGACCTGCGATCAAATCCTAATCGCGCTTCCGCGTTTAACTTAGATTAGTGCAAGCTAGGTGCCATCGAGGTAATTTTTATAATCAGTCAAAAAGATCCTCCGATCTTTAATTCGCTAATTACATCGAGCTTTTTTAATGATTCCCTTTGTCAAAGTAAATTACGTAAAGCTTGAAATGAAAAGTCAATGCGAGAGAAAGAATAATTGGCGAATGGTTCCCGGTTCGATGACACGTCGATCACCGCGGACCGTAACGGTAGCGACGTTTTTTCTGGTACCAAACGAGGCTGAATAGATCTCGCAATTTCCATTGACCCAGCGGCACAATTGAGATCGATAACGGATTGTTTACGCCATTTAGGCGTCCGTTAAAAATAGACTGAACCGATGAATCATTGGATAGCTGGAAATTGTTCAATAAGTTTCGTCGAGCTCGCGGTGTACTTTATTCCTTTGCCAACTGTCGAGTTTCTTTAATTTTCATTGTGTAGAGAATGATTGATCACTTAAAAATTACCTCTTCTATCAAGGAAAGAGTGCACCACGAATTGTTTGGCGAGAACGAGCCGTGGAACGTGGCGAGGAGTCGAACGCGGGAAGCGCAGTATTTAGTTGAGTGTTCAGACAGCGTGACAGTATTACTTCGCGTTAATAATTGCGAGAAATATTTCGCAATTTTTCGACAAAATGCGTCGTCGGAAAGTGGGCATCGGGACGCTCGCGTCTCTGCTCCGCTGCATCAAACTTACCGAGCATGGACGTAGGATGAAGGGCAGATAATAATTAAACGTGATCTACGAACGTGATCGTGATCAATAAATAACAGTACCGTGAACTTATCAAAGGAGCACTCATCGTGGTTCGTATTCGCAATTAGTTCAGTTCATTTTGACTGTGTATAACGATCTGAAATTTTGTTACTGGTTCTACTGGAAATGGTACACAGACTCTGTTAAGTTTAATCGAATATTGTTCATTGTTCGACGATTGTGACAGGCGAATTTTGTATCGTTTCAGTTATACTGAAACAGAACACGCTGGTGTGCCAATTTGCGTCTCCGTTGGACGTTGATACTCACAATAAACCCGAGGTACGTGCACTAATCGCGAATGATAAGAGTTCAAGTACTTTCCTTCGTTTCTGCGACTTAAGCTTTAAAACTGGGAGTGATCCATGTTCAAACGAAAATCAACTGCGTCTGTTATTAGGCAGTGGTCTTAGAAGGAAAATACTGGAAGCGTAAACTTGCTGCGGTGACTGCGGAGTACAAGAAATGGCGTATGTTCTACCGGAACAAGATCCTTGGCTGGACGAACAAGGATGGGACCGAGATGGTATTCGCTTGCTTTAGAATTTTCATTGAACAATTTCTATTTCACAGCTGTTCTTCATGAATGATCGTCGTTGCAGATGGATACGATGGATGTCTTAGGTTGGGGCAGCGGCTTGGGCGTCTCGGGCAACTTTGGACCAGGTACAGGAAACACACACGCAGGAACCAGTGGGACTCCAGGAGGAGAGAGTATGATGGTTGATGAGGATTACATGGAACTTATGACTGATACGTTATTTTCAACAATCAGTTCGAATCAACCAATATACTTTCCCGATCCGAGAGAAATTGGTAACTCACTAATTCACATTCCTAAACGCAACAGTATTAATAAAAAGTGACACACGAACCAACGATAACTACGTGCCAACGATTATTGCAAAGAAATTAACCATACGAATCCACTAACACATATAATGAAATGTACATGTATTCCTTGTAATATGATTGGATTTGTCACAGTGCGCGGAGCTAGTCTGGCGGATTTTATACAACCCAGCCTGGGACCGCTCCAGCCAAACTTAGATGATTTTATGGATACTCTTGAACCATTGCAAGGTAGAACATTTTTGAACGTTGGCTGCTACTTTAACTAAAAGTAGTTGTGTAAGTAAGACGATCCTTCTAGAATTTTTAAACTCGAAACTGCCGCCTGTCCCCGAGGAAGACGACATGTTTCGAAACAGCACACTAAACGCGAACTACCCTGATCTCGACTTGATGACTCCTATGAATCAGATCAACGAGCTAAGTCAAGAGTCGGCGGTGAAAAATGGACAAGCTTCGCAACAGGCGACGTTAGGACGAGATGAACAGGGAGACACTTCTATACAGAATCTCCAGTACACCGCGAAGATATATACTCAACCAGAGCAAACAAATAGTTTCAGAACTAATATGTGGGTTTCACTACATGCAATGTTTTATACAGAAGAATAACTTCGCTACTACAAGTTTTCGTTTTACTGTTACAGGAGTCTGGGTCAGAATTACAATACTATACAACAAAGTTACGAGCCCTCTTCCGAAAGTCAACCCGTCAGGGAGAAAAGTCGGCCGAGTAGAGTTTCTTCAAGAACTAGTCGAGTGATTCAACAGCAGCAACAACCAAATACGTACCAACGGCCTACGCAGCAGCAACAAAACTCCACTTATCAACAAACCGCGCAGCAACCATACGCCATGGAGATTCAAACCGTTCAGTTGACGCCGGTTCAAAATTCGATAGGGGCGTTGAACGATCACGCGAATCAAATCCAGCCGATCGCCGGGCACGTACAGAATTTGGTGACCGTGCAACAACAGAATTTCGGAGCAAACAATTCGATGGTATCGACCCAACACAGGACCATCAGACCTCTGCCACCTGTTGCGTCGCCCGTGTCGCCGTCTAAGACGTTCAAAGTCGTTCCACCGCAACAGTGTTACAAGTTCTCCGCTCTTCAGCAAAACTTTAATGCGCAGCAATGCAAATTTAACAACAATAATTTCAAGGTACTCGCAGATGCGTTCCACCGATAACGCGGCGGGCGTGTCTCTCGTCTGCATAATTTGCGTCGGCGAGAATCGGTTTATTGAGAAGTCCTTCTTTCCGTAGGCACACCCACCGCAACAGATCGTATCGGTTTCCGCGGAACAACCGTCGCAATCGCCGATACTGTTACAGTGCAGACCCTCCGGTTTGGATCTCACTACGCCGACCGTGCAATCCGCTAAATTGTTGCCGCAGCCGGCCGCATCGAATTCAGAGAAAGAGGAGGTTTTTGCTGTTCCCAAGGTTGATATGCAAATCTTCGTACGACGATAAATCGAAACGCGAGACGCGACGCGTGCCTCGATTAATGATATTTCTATTTTCAGTGTCAGATGAAAGCGAGGAACAGATCTCGAAGTAGTTCATCGCTAACAACGCCGAGAATGCATCCACCACCATTAGTATCAGCGGCGAGCGATCCTAATCTAAATCTAAATAACGACGTTTTACTCGCACAGTTACTCACTAATAGTATGTATACCAAGAAATGTAATCTTTGTACGATTAACATCCTCTCTCTCTCTCTCTCTCTACATATATATGTTCTTTAAAATCGTTTTACAACGTACGCAACTTGATTAAAAAAAAATGAAACTCGATAAAAGAATATTATGAGAGCTCCAATATCGTTATCATAGACGCAACGTCTGGTGTACACACACTGAATACGTCAGCTGATAATATAATGTCGACAGTGAACCAAACGGCCACTACTATGAAACACATCTTACCAATGTTTCCACCTTTAGCTTCGGCTACGCAGGTGACAACCAGTCATCATATTACCACGCCGGTCACTGTCCAGACCATGCAAACGTCTACGGTGCAAGTACAACCGCAGCAACAGGTACTATATTTTCATTTTCTCTTCGGACGATGTTTATAGCGTCAACGTCGATCTACCTAAACTGACAAGAAATATAGCGAGCTCGCAATCAGAAATTTCGAGTGATCGACGTTCGCGCGTACATTTATTTATGCAGATTACACAACGCTGATATCGAGAATAGTTCAACGATACAATCTATAACGTGTTCGACTCGGTTATTAGGCAATGCAACAGTCCGCTTGTAGCCAACAAATGTTGTTGAATGCAAGCAGTCAAGCGCATCAGCCGCAAAATAGTCCCGGCTCGCCGAAGGACAGCTCGAACGCGCACAGTCCTCAGGGGTTGAGTCTGAGCCCTCTCCACAGTCCGATGAGCATAGGGAGCCCACTGTCGCCGAGCAGGAGCTATATAAAGGGCGAATCGGAACGAGGACAGTACAAGGAGCAAAGACGAGTCGGGCATATCCACGCGGAACAAAAGCGTAGATATAACATTAAGAACGGGTTCGACATGTTGCACAGTCTAATTCCGCAGCTTAGTCAGAATCCGAACACGAAACTTAGCAAGGCCGCGATGCTGCAGAAAGGGGCGGATTATATCAGGCAGCTGAGGGCGGAGAGGAACCAATTAAAGGAGGAGATGGATAGCTTAAGACATCAAATCGAGTGCCTTAATACTTCAATTAGGTAATCCTCGATGATAAGATCGATAATCGATTAGACAGAGATTGAATACGGTTTGTTTCAGTAATTGTCAATCAATGCTTCCTGCAACGGGTGCTCCGATTTCGAGACACAGGACCAGCAAGATGAAAGAGATGTTCGACGAATACGTACGCACGCGTACACGGGAAAATTGGAAATTTTGGATTGTATCCTTCCTCGAACGAGTGCTTCGTGAATCGTTCAATGCTTATGAGAATTCTTTTCCTTAGAGAATAATTAGTTCAGTATATTACTCGAGCCGTTGATGATTTCTTTCAATACCTCAGTGTCGACCGCGAGCATCGAAGATCTATACAGAAGTACAATATTATGGGTCGAGCAGCATTGCTCGCTCGTCGATCTCAGACCAGGTCTGTTACATGCTCGCATTCGAGTAACAATTTTTTTTCAAGTAATTAGCAATGTCTTGGAGATTTCCTTGGTTTTCAGCCGTTCTGAATTCCCTAAGATATCTGTGTACTGCCACTGATATTCTGTCAGATCCTGGTCGCCTGCCCGAAGAAGCACTCGCAGCAGTCAATCACACGGAACGACGACGATCAACTCAGTGACCAATTATAATACTATGCGAATTTCGTCGTGAAACGTGATTCGTGTATAGAATTAAGGTTTTAGTCGCGTTACAAGTAAAAGGAGAAGCAGTTACCGTAGCAGTAAGCCGATACGGGGGAAGATAACTTACTAAAAACTTTTCAGACGGTCCCTTTTTACAGATACGCTATATAGTTCCTCGTCGCAGCGGTCGTGGTTGACGATGGAGCGAATATTCAAAGTGCAATTTTCTCCCTTACCCTTCTCGAAATTGTGATCGAAAATATGATCGAATGGACCGTTAGAAAAAGATTTTGTGAAAAATGTATACAAAGTTCACTCTCGCGAACACGTTCAACAAGATATATGTGTATTGTAATATACAGACTGCGAATTTAGAAGATACTGAGATTCAAACATCCTTTTTATAGCAGTTATCGCTATTGTTATTCGTAACGAAATACCAACGAAGAAGTAGACTCGTATTTATTACGTATCCGCGTTCACTCAGCATTGCGAAAAATTATTACGTTTTACTTCACAATCGCTAATTTTCGTAATTTCGATTCATCAAATCTATCTACGAAAAAAGGAAAAATGTTTAGAGCAAGCCATTCCATTACGTCTTCACTATGCTTGTTTTTGTTTAAGCTTACGATAGAAAAACGAACATGTTCTTGAGATCGGTCTATTTCCATTTTAAATTACGTTTCTTTCTACTTTTAAGGCAAATACATATTTGTAAAAAGGTATACTGCAAATTCATTCATACTGGCGGTATATTTTTATGATAGTTGAAATATAAATAATTTTTCTTGACAAAATTGTTTGATTTTCAAAGTTTTTTTTACTACCGGCGAATAAAGAAATTGTTTTATGCCGTGCGGAAGATGTATCTCCGAGTACGCGTGGACAGAACCAGTGCCATGAAATTGCAACGAGACATGAATCGGGAACACGAACCATTCGATATATTTACATAATAAATTGTGAGAGACGATTTTAAACCGAATGCCCCACGGAACATTCTCAACGTTTATTTTATACCATACGATAAATCTATACCTGTTGATACTTGCATAGTAATAACTTTGAAAGGATAAAGAATTTATACAAAGCGCAAAAGATGGGTTGCTCATAAATTACGAGTTTACTACATAATAATAATAATAATGTTACAAAATATGAAGTTTTTTAACACGAAATTTCATGTGATAATGTACAAATCATTTATAAATGAATTAACATATATGTATTAGAATTTAAGCCATGAAAGACGCCTGCATATTGTAACGTTGTTACGTTTAAATAATTATTGTATATAACAGAATACTTTAAGCGACGAACAATCTTAAACAACTTTTTAAGCTGTTTCAACGATTTCGAAAGAATATAATTTTTAATTCTGTGGACACCTGACCCATGCATTTTTCTGTTTTTTTTTTACAATATACAGTTGTCTTTTAACTCTACGTTGTCTTTGTATAAATAGTAGACGATACGAAATAAATCAAAGAAGGGATGTTGTTTTGTACAATGTATATCATATAATCATATCAGAATACCTATATCGTCGATTAGATCTCTATTTTCATAATCGAACGAATTTGAATTCATTTTTCTTTCTCTAAACTATAGAAATTCATTTGAGTACTTCGATCTTTATCATTTAATTAAATATTAATAAAACACAATCAATTGAATGTCGTCACATTCGATATCGTCAAAATCAAATTTTAATTTCATTTGAACACCCACAACATTTATATAAATTAAACTTTGGAAAAGCGTTAATTACTTTTATGCTATCGGCGACAAGGTAGAACATTTGTCACAAATTATTAACAACGAAGAGGTATTGCTCTCAGGTATCGATAAGAAACCCGGGGTTTCCGTACATTGTACCGAATGATTGTCCACGTGATTGTTAATAAGGGATTTTAGTTCTCTTAAACTGATACTACAGTTTAACATGAAATTACAAGACTTGCAGTCTATCCTGTTTTCTTTCTGTACCAAATTACATTTCTGACATATAGGGCAGATAACTTCATCGATTTGTTCATCCGCAGCCAACGCGAATTCCAGTTCTTCGTTCATCATTTTCTCGTATTCTTGCACTATCCATTGCGCTATAAATAAAATAGAAGTAACGCACCTACGTCGTTTCGATTTGCATAATAACGGAAGGGCTTCGATTCACCTTCCTCCTGGATGATTTCACTTTCGAGCACTACTGCTTCTTCCGGGTCGAGTTGGACAATTTCGGACGAAACAAAAGGATTCACGGCTGGGTCTAAACTGGTGTCCGCGATATAATTTAATTCGGCACGAACGATGTCGCCTAACACATCAGTGTCACTCGAAATACTCATACGACTAAATCTACGTCTGTTAAGGAATTCAGACCGCCTCTCTCGCATTCTTATCCGACATCTCTGAAATTTAATTTCATCGCATCAAAACGTATCCTGATTTAAAACGCGACACGTAGAAATTATGTTGTAAATTCTATCGTTCGAACGATTCATATTAACGATTCTAACCTCTCTGAGGACTTCTTGCAATTTCGGGGACCCGTGTCTGATTTTATTTGCATTCTCTCGATTTTTCATTTTTGCACTTAACGTAGGAGATGTGACTTCCATGGCGTTCATTTACACTAATATTTGGTAGATTCAACGGAAATAAATAATTATTACTCGAACGGACTTAACGGTGACAAGTGAAAGATGTCAACGGCGGCAAAGAATTCCCGCTTTCCGCCTTCCCGCCAGTATTGGACACATCGTGGGATTTTTATGGCATGCGCACTGGAAATTACTTGTAGCAGTCGAGTGACGTTTATTTTTTAAATTTAAAGGTTCCATTAGATCCAATTTTTTAAGTGTTTTGTATGCACCACAGTTTATTTCACATGAAACTATTATAACTCTGCATTATAATCCTGAACATTGCATATACATAGTTATACACATATAATTACTTTCGAATTACATAATTCATGTAGTAGAGGTACTTTTGACTCAAGACCGCAGTGGCCGTATATGTATTATAGCAACCCCTCCGTGGATCGTACGTTCAAATAATATAAAGAAAAGTTTTCCTCCATCCTTAAGACATTTTACTATCAGTTCATTTTCCTTTATTTCGTAAATCATAATTCACGGACGACGAACAAACTATCATTTTCAGAATGATATCAATATCATAATGGAATTTGGAAAACAATCGCTCATTCAGAAACAATTAAACTTTAACGCACGCACGACACACATCAGAGGAGGAATAGTTATTATAGATTACAGATATAGATACGCATCCGGAAAATATATGAATACTATGTAAATATATAGCGTTTAGGTATATATATGTGTGTGTGTATATGTATATATATATATATATATATGTATAGATCGAAGATAAAAATATAATTTCAATAAGATATACATATCTGTAGTAATAACATTCATATTTAAAACCTTCTCAATGGATTAGGCATTCTCATGATATGTTAGAGTTTCCCTTACGCGTCAAAAGGTCAACGTGGATGGAAGTATAATATTGTTTGACTAGAAATCTATGCATCCTCTCTTTCCGTGTTAGTGTCGGACTCTCGTCGACTATCATCAGTGGAGAGCGGATTTTTACGCAAAATCGTATTTTCTGAAACATATTTTGAGGAATGCAATCTATTTATACAGATTTTCCAATTTCACGATGTGAGATTTACATCGGTCGGATTTCAGTATTTTTGGACATTACACATAATGGGTGCATTTTTTCTTACGTTTAACTTTTCTGTAATTGCATAAAAATCCGCAGTCCGGTCGCCAGAGACGAGTTGTCCAGATTTCGCAGCAGGTACTTTACGCATCAGAAGATATTTAATTTTCCCTCCTACGCTATTGTTTCTCAATCACAAATAATCGTAACATTCGTAAACGTGATCGCGAATTTTCTCCCGGTCAAGATCAATCGCTTTGTACATCATCGAAGATCGCGACTCTGATCGACATTCAACGTAACAAAATTTTCCACATAGAGTATAACTGTATGATAATCGTATTATATTTATTTAACGTTCAGAATTTGACGAACGACTCCCGCGATGGATACTTCATCGAGCTGCGTTTACATATGAACAAACATACTCATTAACGTTTACGTATAAGGTATACCGCTAATAATCTGGAATATACGCTAGGTAAAGCGGACAATTAATGATATGTCTTCTTCAAGTGCCTCTCGATCTCGCAATTGATTATACGATTTGATTCAACGATGCGCAAGTTCTCGGTTTCGATCTCGATATTCGATGGATCTCGTCGACGTTTAGCTCTCCTTTAAAAGAAAGGAAAAAGTATCTTCTCGCCCATTCACAGAGGGGAATGAAAATATGCGTGTGTTTATCGTGTGCGTTTGAATTCCAGTAGATACCTTAGGAATGAATCTAGGAAACCTAATTTAAGTACCATCTGAAAATCGCGGACAATCGTCGAAGGTAAAAAGTGTACAGGATGAAGCGAATATTATTCATATTTTTCGACGAAGCTTTGGAAGAACTGAATTTTGACGTTTGTCCTAACGTTTCTTCGTTATACAATAAATTCCTCTACCGATCGTTCGATTAGAAAAGTGGACAAATAGAAGAATGGCAAACAAGTGGAAGAAAGACGTTCTCATCTCTCCGAGCATCCTGTACACGTTTGTTCAAATTAGAAGTATTAGGTTTCAATAACAGATCACATAAACTCTTCTTATTACTATACACGTAATATAGTTTGTCTTATAATCCTATAGACGGGTTATTCTGATATGTATCATCGTCAGTCGTAATAGTCGCAGGAAAACAATTGAGAAGCGTGTCCAAAGCGTTCCCAAATCCTCCGTTCCATTCTTTTCCATGCAGGAGGACTAAGAACATCGACAGTAATCAGAGAAGTGACTTATTTTACAATTAGGTTTCCCGCACGTCGTAAGATGGGTTTCATTTCACATACTCTCTTTCTCTCTCTCTCTCTCTCTCCGTATTCTCTGATTCTTCGGGAACGATGAAGCGTTTAGGCGAAGGGAACTCGCTTGAAAATTCGATTTCCTTGTCCAGTGATCCGCTTCTCACCGGAAGTGTACTGCACGACAGACTTGATCTGATCAGTTGCGACTGGCCCGATGCATACCAGAGGATCTTTGAAATACGAACAAACCTAAATGCAAAACAAAAAGATCGTAAAGGAATTCGTATTTTCATTATTTCTCTAATACTTAAATCGCATTTTTATTCATTTATAAAAGATATTTAAATATCGAACAATGTTTAAATTCCTGAATAAAACATTTCATGTCGGATAAAAAATCGCAGCTAATTTCTCAACGCGCGTACTTTTTATTTTATCGAGTAACTTCATTATGAAAATGTCAGTACCTTCCTCGGAGTTTGCCGATGACGTCTTTGAAGTTGACAGCACAGACCCCGACTGATGTCACACTCCCCGGACATGTTGCACTCTTCGTCTACGAGAACGGACGGGAACAAAATTTTCTAAAGTTAGAAGTTGCGGACGTGGGCAGGGAGAGAGAGTCTCCGCCGCTTGACAAAGAGTTGACGTAACTCGTTTACGAATTGACCTTTTATCGATTATCGCGGGATTCCCTGTCGCATAGAAATACAGCATCACTTACTGTATAGCTTGTTCGAAGTGATCGGTGGCTGACACGAGCGAGTCTCGCTGCCGGGAACTTCAGCACACATCAGGCCAGTCTCGCAGTCGTTATCGTTCCTACACAGCTCGCCTTGCTTCTGGCCCAGGTCGAATATGCAGTGGCCGAGAACTAGGAAGTCAAGCGTTATCATTAACCCTTTCAGTGCTATGAACTCATATACATGCGTTCCGAGAAATCGTTCACCACGGAATCAATCGTTCGAACCCATTTATGTATTTTCTCATGTAACCATTTAATTTCGGCTGTGAACGCATATATGCGAGACCAACGAAGCTCGTAAGCCTAGGAGATATAAAAATAAAAAACATAAGCCGATATTCAGAGTCGTTACTCATATTTAAGATCGCCTTAAGCATTTACTTAAGTCCTTATTTCCTGTACAAAACAGGAACTGGAAATATGGGATAGACAGGGATAGGAAATACTTAAGCCGATTTTAAGAATAAGTAACGACTCTGAATACCTCCCATAGTAATAATGCATTTTCAAACTTCGTTGTACAACTTTGTAGGAGTTAAACGAAAAGCGATTTTCGTACAGAATAAAATATTTATAATATAAAATAAATATCGCATTTCCTGCTCACTAGCTTTTTTCCTATCATTTTATATGTAACCAGGCAGTGAGTAGAAATATTGAGGAATTGGGGTATTTACTATACACTTAAGAAAATGCATGCAGCTATTTTTATTATCCTTTAACTATGCAATATGCACTTAATTCTTGATATAAATCAAACGTAATGTACGAATGTTAGGCGTTTTCAATTATTTTCATAAAATCCGGAGACTAGTGACAATTGTTAAAACGAACTTACCTCCGTCTACGTCGTAACAAATAGAACCTGGACAGCAGTGTTCGTTGGCTGTGCACCTTCTCTCCTCGCACGGTACGTCCAAAGAATCGGCGTAAGAATTCCCGTAGCTAGTTAACGGCCGCTTGAAACGAAGTCATTTAGAGTCTCGTTAAAACGAGGATATATGTACATGCAATGAAACGTGTATCAAAAGTAGATTAGGTCATTTCCCTCTTTAATTATCATAAATTAACGTTTTTAATCAGCCGACGCGTTTCCCCGTTTATATTCTCGAAACCCGGTGCGTGTAAATTACAGATTTTAATTACGTCAATAAAGAGCGGTAAAAAAAAGACAAAATATGGAATAGCACCCGGTATTTCGAAAATTATAATATAGTTGGGTCTAAGTCTGTTTTATAGTTAATTTCTATGCTGAAAACAATTTGATTCTAATATGCGAAATTATCTGACTCTCGTCACAGGTATACGTAACGTTGAAGCTCGTACGTAAATGCATGCAATTGCATGAAAATAATACGTCTATCGATCGTGTACGTGTGTACCTATTGTGGAGTGTTCGTCATACCTGATAAAATCCAGGTTTGCTCACGTACTCTCCGTGGCTGCCGTAGCCGAGATTCGATAACATTTCCGGGCTGAAACGATTAAACAGACCGCCCCAGGCCTCGACACCCTCGTAGCACATCGTGCTCGCGAGGACCACGACGGTCAACGTAATACACCTGTGCATTTTTCCCATGTCGAGCAACTGTTTTATAAACTTCTGAAGCTGAAATCAATTTTTGCTCTCTTTATATCGAATTTAGTGTTCCAACTAAAGTGCAATGAACAAAGAATTCTAATCAATCGTTCGGCGGTTTAGTAGTATTTTCTTCACATACTAAAAAATTCTATTGACTTTTAATATATCGATAAGAAACGGTGAGAAGGGGTGGATTAAGGTCTTTCTTGATTAAAGGAGAACTTGATAGGAGTTGAATAAATTTTACAAATGACTTGACTTCGTGTTTTACGGTTTCACTTGAACCCGCAGTTTCGGTGTACGTTTCAGTGTTTCATAACGAAAAGAATAGCAATAAGGGTGTAAGAGGAAACATGTTTCAATCTTGAAAATAGAAACTCGAAAGTGATCGATAGGACTTACTGAATCTTCGGTTGTCGTGGATTATTTAACTCGGTGAACGTCTCTGGTACAAGCCTGTGTTTCACGGGATCAACAAGTCCTTGGTGGAGTTCCTCAGAGCACTGATTCGAGTTGCGCTCGCATTGGCATTGGCAATCTATACCTCTACGTCGTTCCGGTTTCTCTTATACGAAGCTTGCGAACATTCGCGCAAGCGCTACACCCGACTCTCCGTACTCACGAGACTAGCTTAACATTTTTTTCATTCAGATTTCTTCGTTTTCTCAATTTCTTTATTTTCATCGACCCCGTTATAGAAAAATCTTCGTTCTCACTGGATCAATACGACATCGAACAGACATTACCGTACAGGACACTAGTACTCCTTAAAATAGTTCTCTCCCTTTCTGATCTATCCCTTAAATTAGATCATGAATATTTAAGTACAATGAAAGGAAATTCGTTTGCGTCATTATTCATTAATAATTCAGAAGGGTTACATAAACGTCGACAAGTATATAGATATATTTCATGAGGAATGAGTAAAAGTCTTCTGTTTTTAAGATCATAATTTTCCAAAAGGAACAGAGTACAATTGTGGGGACGATTAAGGAAAGGTTTTTGGGGAGATTGCATCCTTCCAGGATACAGCTGCGCCATCGGGCTAGCACACCTTCGCGTGGGTGTCCAGCTCTTTCCTCGTCGCTCCACCCGAGCGCCGTTCCATCTGTCTTTGTCGGTCGTATTGATCCGCGGAGTCCTGATGTTCTTTGCCGGGCGGTCGCTCTTGCTCCATATATTTGACTCCTCGCTGGCCCATGAATAATAATACCGGGAAGCGTGCAATAATAAAGAGGACGCAACTGGAGTACAAGACATGTGCAATTACGTCGCTTCCAACATTGATTTTCTTGTTCAACGTGCTCTTCGCTCGCGCGAGAATTCGATGATAAATGGACTGCAGGTTTTCTTATTCTACAACGTTTTTCCTGTTCGCTTAAGAATTCGATGATAGACTGCAGATTTCATACAAGATTATATGTGAAATATTAGAAGATATCTTATTGCTCGAAGAAATTCTTATTTAAATCATTTTTTTGCATGGCTACTACAAACGTTTTAGTTTACGTGGATCGGGTGAAGCGTTTTTATTATAACACGCACGAGACTCGCATAAGTGTGCCTTCACCTAGGATAGAGCCGCTTGTCTGTGAAAATGCCAAAGCAGGTTTTAAGTTGCGTGCGCTTAGATTATTTTTATAATACGCGAGTTACGTTTATGTGCGTATGGTGTGCTTTTATGAAGAGCACTGAAGCACAAGATTTAAACAGCTTGAAGAAACGAAATAAAACGTACGTATATGTAATCGTCCACGTTCAAACGTTTTTATTTTTGATTTACATAGAAGAGGCGTTGATGTATTTTAAGAATAGTCTTGTTTCGCGTTGGACAGCGACGGTAGTTAAGTTCGATCGTTTTTACTTTTTATTTTCTCGAATCCTCAGGGGTGTCGATGTAACAATGTGTCGCAAGAATATTCTTGTTTCGCGTTGGACGTTATTCGAGTTTGATCACTTTTATTCATGACTCTTTACCGTTTACTTTATATTCCGTTTGATGCATCGATGCACTTTTAGAATATTCTTTTTTCGCGTTGAACGGCGGCGGATTATTTTTATTCTTGACTCTTTATTTGAATATTCCGTTGTGTTGATACATCGGTGTACTCTTAGAATATTCTTGATTCGCGTTGGAAACCGACGTCAGTTAAGTCGGATCATTTTTATTTTCGACCTTTGATCGAATCGAATGTCCACGTTCGTTATTACACATTTATTTCTGTTTCGGGCAGCGACATTATTTAAGTTTAATTATCGCGTGTTGATAGACAAAACGGATTCTAGATTTCCGAGAAAGTTACGACGGCTCAAGTTTCTAACATTGTCACGCGAAGTTTTACCAAGCGGATTGTAATTACCGCCCCACTCATATTTCTCCTTTTCGACAGCTAACACGCTCGTTTAACCTCGCCCTTAGGTTGGAGATGGGAAATAAATTGGGATATTATCTCGTATAAAAATGAGTTTAATAAATAACAGCTCTAACAACGAAATAAATAAGTCTCGCAACTCGTAATCAAAATACGTACTGTACACGTATTTGTACATGTACATACACGGAACACACGTTCGATGTTGTCTACGCGTATATTGCATTTTAATTCGTATACGAATTTAAGAAATCTTCGAAGAATTGCCACGAATTTAAATGAAACCAAAAAAGAAGTGAAAATCGAAGTGAAGACTGCGGATTTCTATGCAAAACGCGATTTAAATACAAATTCTGTTCATTATAAATAATACTTTATATTTCCTGCACGTTTGATCTCCTTATAAAAATCGTGTAAAACCCGCGGTCTAATAATAAATTATTAACAGGTTCAAATGCTTATTAAGAATAATGGCAGTTAAAGAAATTTCAAGCTGGAGATGGTATACGAAATCGTACTGGAGTATTCGTTCGTCTTCTTATCTACGTATTCCGTAGGAAATAAATTACTCTTCCTTTGTACATTTATACAAGTGGCACGGAGTCGTCGGTGATTCAAGAAATACGCAATTTCCCGAGCTCTCAGACTCCGGTGATACCGTGCAGCCAAGGTTTGAAATAGTTCGTTCTCATGTAAACGCCTGGAAGATACGGTGCAGCGCACGTTATACCGTGCGATACCGTCCCTACCAAAAACCATCGTCCGTCCGGTCGTTGCATCACCAACGGGCCGCCACTGTCCCCCTGAAATTATTTATTTCAATACTCGTTCTATACTGTTGTTATTTATTTATATTAGTACACTTTACGTTAATGAGTTAGTAAGAATTGTCATAAAAAATGAAGGCGATTGCAAGTGTGGATTTTGGTTTGAATTCATCGAGTGTCAGACAGGAAATTGAGATGAAGTGTTAATTAAGTGAATGAAAAATAGAATTGTTTGAAATACATACCTCGCAAGAGTCCTTCTGTCCGTTGGCGTATCCGGCACAGAGGAAGCTGTCAAGAATTAATTTGGAATGTCCACCGGTCTGGAACATTTCTTGGCACACAGAGTTCTTTATTATAGGCACTTGAACTTCTTGTAGTACAGAAGGCACGCCTCCATCTGCAAATGAAAATTACATATTAAATACTCAATTTTATAATCGAGTGGCACAGCGTAATATCACTAAAATTTTTTTGACTGAAACTGGAATTAAGGAAATAGAATTTTGACAAGGGATAATAAAACTTCGAAGTGGATTGTACGATCACTCACTGTATTTTAAACGTCCCCAGCCTGTGACAGTGGCCATTCTGCCAGTGAAATCAATTCCGTCTTCGGGCATACAGATAGGCACGATGTGGACGTCGAATTGTATCGGTGATTCTAACTCCAAAAGTGCCAAATCGCTTTCGAACGTCGTGGGGTTGTACCCTCTATTGACGATCACTCGTCTAACGTTTCTAGTCACACTGCGTTTCGCTTCCAATTCTCCAGACAAGTCGAACTCACCGAAAACGGCTACCAACGTCGCTAAAAATCTGTACATTCACAAAATCAAGATATGAAAATTAAAACTACATCGAATCGGTCGAGTGACAAAACAAGTACGAATTATTTATTACATATAAAATAGTCTCTCTTGAATTTTAATATAAACAAAAATAAGANATCAATTCCGTCTTCGGGCATACAGATAGGCACGATGTGGACGTCGAATTGTATCGGTGATTCTAACTCCAAAAGTGCCAAATCGCTTTCGAACGTCGTGGGGTTGTACCCTCTATTGACGATCACTCGTCTAACGTTTCTAGTCACACTGCGTTTCGCTTCCAATTCTCCAGACAAGTCGAACTCACCGAAAACGGCTACCAACGTCGCTAAAAATCTGTACATTCACAAAATCAAGATATGAAAATTAAAACTACATCGAATCGGTCGAGTGACAAAACAAGTACGAATTATTTATTACATATAAAATAGTCTCTCTTGAATTTTATTATAAACAAAAATAAGATTATCGAAGTAGATTAGTAAATAGAAGTGAGAGAACGAGAAGTGCTCACTTTATACTTACCCTGGCTGACAGTGAGCCGCCGTGATGACGTACTTGTCTGTAATCAAGACACCCCCGCATTTGTTTTTCGTGAAGAGTCCCAACCAAGTGGCTTCACGCACTAAAACCTGCCATGGCCATTCGCCAAACGTAGCTGCCTTACCACCGACAATTCTACCCGATTTCATCAGAGGTCTTTTCCCGCACTCTGCACATTTTAATCCAACCAAAAATTAAGCATTAGAATCAATCATACGAGAGGTTGTATCAATTATTGCGTCGATCATTATACAGAACATCGTATTAAATATAGCATCCAGCATTAGAATTATTGTAATCAGGATGTATGATGAAAATTTGTAGTTCTACACTTACGAGAACGAAAATCGCTTGTAGAAGTGATTTGCTGACTCGTAGTGGTAGTTTCGATCGCGTTCAACGTGCTCGCTTCTTCTTCGGCTAATACCACTGCCTCGGTGGTAGTCGCTGCCTGAGTGGTGGTCGGTCTTCTGGTCGGTTTGGTGCGTTTCGTTGTAACTTGGGGTTTCTTTGTGGTCGCACTGGACGCCGTGGTCGGTTTCGGTTTCGAAGTAGTCAGCGGTTTCGAAGGGCGACTGCCTGACGGTTTCGAAGTCGTCGGTCGATTCGCTGGTCTCTTCGTGGTCGCTGGTTTCTTCGTTGTGGTAAACGACGGTTTCACCGTCGAGCCCGGTTTTACCGTCGAGCCTGGTTTTCGCACGGGTTTCTTCGTCGTCGTAGCCGGCCTCTTCGTCGCGCTCGACGTTTCGGAAACCGGCGAAGACGCGGCTGACCCGTTAACGCGATTGTAGACCACATCTTTCAGATCCTGAAACGCATTTCAAATTGTTGGCTGTTCGATTAAATCAGAGCATATTTAAACTGCCACTCTAATTATATATATTGAATTATGTACAATTTACTCATATAAAAAATCTCTGAATTTTCATCAAAATGATAAATTTGATTTTTACTCCGCTTGAAATACGTACTTGGAAGTTGCCTTGCAGCGACTGCACGATTTTGTTCACGAACGTGTCAACTTTATTCGTAAGAACGTCATCCTCGATGAAAGTAGGCGTTGGAATATCATTTTCGCTGATCATCTCTATGTCAGGATAGCCGCTGTTATTGTATGCTCCCATGATGGTCGGTTTCTCCTGTTGCGAGATCGGCGTCGACAGGTTCAGATTCGGATTTCGCACAGGAGGGAAATTGATCAAATCGTCCGGAGCAGGCGTGTCCTCATCGCAGTGCGGCAAAGCGGTCGTCGCTTTAAAATCCATGGTCGTCGTTACAGGATCTTTAAAGATCACAGCGGACGAAGGTTCGTCCGAGAGAGTAACCGAAGAAGGTCTCAAATGAAAACTGGGTTTGCTGGGCCAGGCGGAAAGAGTCGTCCAGATCGTAGGTCTCTTCGTAGGCAGCTTCTCTGAGAACTCAGTCCCTGCCACGACGGGCTCTGTACTGTAATTAGTATTTACAGTCGGTTTCGAAGTGGTTCCGTCTTTCACGTTGACGCTGAAGAAACTCGTAGAGACCACGTTGTTCGTAGCAACGTTCGAGATCACTGTGCTAATGTTGTGAGTGATGGTCGTGGATACACTGGGCTTCTTAGTGGCGAACGGATTCGGTCTCGCCGATCCGACCGTAGGCTTGAAAACATTCGTGACGACGGTTTCGGTCACTGGCTTCTTCGTGACAATTTTCTGTGTGGTTTCCGTGTATTCCGTGCCGAGAGGTCCCAGGACTATCAACGTTGGCGCAGGTGGGTTCGTAGTAGTTTTCACTGGATAATCAGAGGTACTGATACCAGAATATGTAGACTGTGTCGATGGTCTCGCGTTCGACGTCGATGAAGAGGTATAGCTGGTCTCCGTGGGAACCGTTTCGTAATTGTAATAATTCGGTGATTGTCCTGGTTTGTAAAAAGTATACGGGAAGGTCTGAGCGATCGTCGGCCCGGAGGTGAAAGGTCTCGTCGAAATTCTTGTTAAAGACGGTTTCGAGGTCTCGTCGATGCTGACCCATTTGTTGATGGACGAATTCGGCGTCTGAATCGTGGTCCCTGAACCAGGCTTCGTGTCGTTCAAAATCGAGATTATATGATTGATAGCTAATTCCTCTTTGTCCACTGTGTCGTGTTTCTTGTTGCCAGAAGGTGAGGTGTCGTAAGTGATCGTCGGTACTCTCACTAAATCATCTTTCGTATTACTCAGAGTAGTCATCGGTGTGGTCGTCCTTTCGTTGGTAGAACCAACGGCTTCTATGTTCTTCGTCGACACTCTTTCTTCCACTGTACCGATCCTTTCGAAATTGTCAACAGCTGTCTCTTCGGGTAGGGACGTCGTCGTCAGCCTCTGTGTATTAGCATACATCTGCGTAACCACCGGTAGTCTCGTGTCGTGAACGGATGAAGATTGATCCGGGAACTTCACCCACTGCGTGGTCTGATAAGTAGAACCTTGAGGCTTCTTAATCTCGCTCGGAGTCGTCTTCGCTCGTTGAGTAGTGTCTTCGCTCGGTTTTTTTTCTTCGGTAATGGACTCGACACTAGGTTTAAATAAATCATCGGGATTATGCGTTTCGTTCAACGTGGTTCCATTCTCGTTCAGTAAAATCGTGTCGGGCGAGCTGTGATTGTTCTGGCCCAAACCGTGCGAGAACAAGGCTGGAAGTTGGTCGACCGGATCGGCTATCTGAAGTATCTGATCAGGACTCAGTAAAGTGGTGACCGGATTAACAACAGTGTTCGCCGGGTGATTGCTCTGCACACTGTCGGAATGACTCAACAGTCCCGGGAGGCCCAAATCGTCCAAGACGTTTTGCTGACCCAAAATAGCCGGGAACTCCTCCTCCAAGTGGCTTACGTCCGGCTGAGCGGGTAACTGCGGTCTCTCCGCGTTCTGAACTGTGTCCTGGATCTGCGAAATTCCAGACGTCGGCTTCGCAACAGTCGTCGGCGCGTCGTACGTCGAGATTTTTGTGTATTCGGAATCGTCGTTGATCGTTTGATCGACCTTATCGCGATCGTCCTGTGATATCGTCATTCCGAGCGGCGTTCCGTCCGAATTCAGCAAAATGGGAATATCGGGGACGTGATCGATCTCGTGTACATTGAATATTTCATCGGTGACCGCAGGACCGTCCTCGATGTCGACGGTGGTCGCTGAATTTTTGGACGGCAGTTGACAGCACGCGCCGAACAGGAACCCGTCCATGCACGCGCCGACCACTTGCCCGTTCCGGCGCGAGCACTCGTAATTGAACATGCATATCGCCGGCTCGTTCGATTTTACCAACGATGGGATCGTCGGCTGGCACGCTTTCGGGACTATCCTGTATCCGCCGAACAATCTTCTGCCTGTAAAGAAAAATAATACTGATTTACAAGCGGTTTATCGTGTCACAAAAATCTGCAATCTATTGCATCCCAAAAATCTACTGCATTCTAATAATCTGCAGTTCATCCTGAAAAATCTGCAAATATACGAAATTTGAATTTCTTTATGTTTTTCTATTAATAAAAGTTACTATTTAGTATAATATTGGTTCTGGTCACATGAGTCTAAGCCATAGGCGAGCAAGCATGTAGGCTTTGCACGTGCCTCCTCGTATATGCCTGCATACTACCGATATAATGACCTACTCTGCGAATCGTCCACGGTATGCGCCGTCAAGATCCTTCCGGCGTTCCAGATTTTTTATTTTTTTATTTTTCGCGGACTTTCGTTTCGCACCTGACCGTGTCACCGGACGGTGAACTCATAAAAGCGATACGAAATCTTTTTCTAGTTCACAGCCAGACTTATTCGTGCATAGATATTAAAAATTGTTGAAGGGCAATTTTAAGTTCTTGTGATGATTTATAGAGATCATGATATGACTTTATGTATTGATTATTTATGATTTTTAACAGTTTCTGTGTCACGCAGTTTGCCGTGTCATGCATTGATTATAATCATCCATTCATTCATCGCTTCATGGTCGTTGCGTAATCTAATTGTTACCTGAGGCCTGCGGCACGTAAGAGTGTGAAATGACGGACGTCGAAGAAAGGATGACGAGGAACAGATGAACATTCAGCCCGACAGCCATCTGCAACAAACAATTATAAAAATTGTTTAAAAACAGAGTAATTAATAATTGCAGAAAATTCTATTTATAAAGGAATTCGAATAAAGATCTCTATTTCAGCGGAATATAAAACAAACATATTAATCACTATTTCACACAAACATACGCAGCCTGTATTATACATATATACCTACCATCTTCTATAACGGTACACACATATGTATAAGAAAATTAGTATCGCGGCATACGTCGCGAAAGCTACGTACACGAATTACAAGTCAATTTTTACTCGACATTTACTTGCAACGATGGGACGCCGAGGAACGTATATCGTACAATGCTTGAAGCTAACAATAGCCAGACTGCTTTATTACAATATGAAATATGGTTTATAGAAATGCGTTTCAGCTAGAAATTTCATTTATTCAGTTCAGTTACTCCGACTATAACATAGCTCTTGAATTCTAAATACTACAGACATTTGCGAGACATTCTTATAATGCATTAAAATCCAATTTAATAAGATTGACTTTGGAATCTGTATTGCAGGACGCGCGGATAATTAATTGGTTCGGCGTCTCGTTTTCTTTAATACAATACATTCATAACTGAGAGATTTGCACGCTCGCGTGTACGCGCGCGTCTCGAAAGCAAGTACGCACTGTGTATGTTCACGGTATCCCTGTCCCGAAATCCCGTTATCCGCTCGGTTCAGAGAGACGTACGGGACGTTCCACGTTCCACGTATCACGACCACGTGTAAATGCCGCTGCGAACAGAGACGCGATTACGTGGAGAGCGAGGATGAATGAAGGAAGGCAAGGGACAGATCCATCGGTCGTGATCTTGCACGCCGCGAGAGGAAAAGGGTCGTGAGAAAGACAAAGAGGGCGACAAGCTTTCCCATTGCTCATTGCATCGAGAAGCTACCGGTAACCCAGTTACCAATCCCCCTCCTCGCTGTCATCGGTAGACCTCGGACTTTTATGCGAAGTGAGACATTAAACAAATACATTTTAAGAAGACGTTTCTTCCAATCACACACTTAAGTAATTCGTCAATTAATCTAAATCTGTATTTATGTTTTAATATTCTTGAACATGAGAAGCATTACATCTGTAAGTGTCTGCAGTCGAAGTATCAGATGAGGCGAATACACGTGCTTTAATTACACGGAAGTCACTTTCCTATTTTGTTTTCTTCGAGACGAGTTATGAACCGTCAGGGACTGATGTATCTAAAAAGAGAACGACACTATAATTCTTGCATTCCTGCAGAATCATTATTCATCAGATGAAGCATGAAAAGGTGCCAGGCTAGCCAGGCGAGCAACGAACTTAAATACAAATTATAATATCATTATAAAGTCTGTAGATAAATAGAACTGAACGAATGCAAGAACTCTTATATCTCCTCTCACAGTATATAAAATATATAAATAGTTGTTTGAAAGGACCTTATCTATGCTTTTACAATACGAAATGCATTCGCAGCAGAAGAATGCTTGCCATGTTTAAAATATTAAAAGCAGAGTGCAACGATAAGATGAATGTATATCTAAAATGCATTTATCTAATCTTCCGTTTCGCTTAAAAATCCATGGTCGAGCGATCAGTTTCGCGCATCGGAAGGTTCGGTCACGATCCTTGGGTTCCTCGTGACTCGTAGGATAAGATTCGAAGTGCAGGCTCGAAAATTCTTTCCCGTTCATTGGCCGTTTCATATATACATACATACACACATATATACGTGTACGCGTATGTGTTTACACACATAATATGTACATAAGCGAGAGGCTTGTACGCGATTCACCAGTCGGAGTATATGGGAGATTCTGTGTAGACACGCGAATGTTAACCTGGGAGAAAGCTCGGTTCTACGCTTCTTCGTTATTGGATCTGGGTGACCCGATTGGCTTGGCCTTCGTCAGCCAACAGGTGCTTCCTCATTCTCTTCCGTGACAATTGCTCTGCTCCTTACATCGTTTAGATAAATCGAATATAATCAGACTAGTTTAATTTCATGAGATGAAAATTAAATTCATAGAAAAATATTGATGTTTGAAGTCTACTTCTTAATAATAATAATAATAATAATACATCAGATTATTTTAATTAGACAAAATTATTTTGATAATGTCTAATGCAATGAACATTTTTATATGAAAGATTTTAATCAATCTCGTAGTTTCAAGAATAAGTTTTCAAATTAAATACGTTTTTGTAACAGCATTTGCTGTGAAATTTTATAACTCTAATAGATCGATCAATTGCCCTGAAATCCAACGAAGACAGATTTGTCCTATTTATGAGCATATCATAGATCTTCGAGCTGCTTTCACTTGAACGCTGCGGGTATTTCATGCCCGATCATTGGTGCAAAACCGATCACCTCCTTCGCTTGGTTTCAGTCGAATAACTTAAACGGTCGTTAAGCCTACTATTTCACCTCGTGCGAATCGCAGAAAGTGATAGTCAGCTTGCGTCCCATATCGAAACAATAAACAACGGGAGAAACATTTAGGAACATAAACCATGCATAATAGAATAGAACAAATATAATCGGAGTTTGATGAGTTTTGATAATCTCTTCATAATTTTCATTATTTACCTACTTGCGAACAAACTGAAATTCAATGTCGTTTCATCCACGTGAAGATACGATCTGGCCTCGTCTGACTCGTAACTCATTTTGTCAATGACATGAGTGAGGGGCCAGATGGATAAAAGTCGTGCACGAGCCCAATACGTATTATGGATACATATCGCACGTACGCACGCAATTACCATTTTGTATGGTTAGTACGTGCCGAAATGAAAGAGTTATTCAAAGCTACTTGAAAGGGACAGTGCGTCGTCTGCATTTTAAGAGGCTCGGAAAGTAGTACCTGAATGTAGGACGGCATGTCAGGAGGAACGCGAACAGGCGAACAGGAGTTGGCTAATTCACGCTAGTCACGCTGACGATCGTTAACTGCGGGCTTAACGCGGTGATAATTATAAAGAAGAAACATAATTAAATGGATTTAACTCAGTCAATTCCCTACGATCGCAATGTTTTGCTCTACTATCTGCTCTTTCCCTACTTTTTTATATTCGAACACGTTTAACGCATATCCTTAAAAGGTAACTGCTTATATTTATAGAAAATGCTTCTCCTTTACAGAAAAATAAAGTATGCATAGAAATATGAAAGATCTATGTGCGAAAGAACATAGATATGGAACTTTTTAAAATAAATCCGAATGTAGATCGCATTTTTAAATTAAACCTCAGACAAATATTTTCCGATCTACTTATCATTGATATATCAACCAGCATTCGATGAGCGACGGGAGGAGCAGCGAACGGGCGTTAAACGTTAAGTTAAACAAATGAACGATCAGGATTGGAAAGAGTGACACGGAGCGTCTGTGCGCTGACAACCGTTACCACTTACCACTACCTCACCTCGAGGCATACCTAACTTAGGTGCGCGCACGTACTCTGCACGCGTGCTTGTGCCTATTACTCCTATACGTACACGCGTGTACACGTGTGTCTCAGACACCACTCAGGGTCAATGCGAGGAATCTTATTTTCTCTACCTTTGCATCTTCTCCTCTCCACCCAGTCGAAGTTCAAGAACGCTCTGTGCACCCCAGACTTTTAGGAATCTCCCTTGATCGGAAGAGAATATTCGTATCAAGTTCTTTCAATGAGAAAAAGAGAAAAGAAGTTGAGATTTAGAAACTATAATGATTCATTTTCTGAATTTTATATTCGGTTTAAACGGCAATGATTCGGAAATAATTTTGGAGACATGAATGGAAGTAGGCATCTATATGATTCTCTGATCCGAGATCATGTTAGATGACTTTCGTGGGAGAAACGAGGTCGATACCGTTATTCGAATCATCGATCGTAGGTTCGTTAGGTGAAACCGAGGAAAGTTGAACACGAGCCACGGATGAGTTCGCGTTTAAAAGTGTAATTATGTAAAAAGCATACGACGTAATTGCCCGTGACACGGTCGTTTCGTTTTAATCGAGAGAAATGGGAGTTTAAGAAGGTGCAACGCAGGTAGGTAACGACGCGTGGACGAAATCGTGGAAGATGGAACGCGCCGTCGTCGTCGCAGTCTCGAGAAGGATGAAAAAGGATGCGGCGAGCCAGCGAAGCATGCCAAATGATCTTCTATGTATACATATTGCCTCGTTTACCGCGGGCCCAAACTCGGAAACCTAGCTTTCTCCTGCCTCCACGGTCAGATTACCTTTCGTACGATCGCACTGATTCCTGATCACGTCCTGGTTCCGATAATCCTGCGTCTCTGACCGATTTTTTTTCTTCAACCAACTTTCTATATTAACGTTTGTCGCATTACTTATTTCGCTTCGTTTGAATCGGTAAAAATTACCATATAGTCATTCAATCATTTTGTTAGAACGGGTCGTCCAAGTGAAGAATTCATTAAATACAATAAATTAATTTTTCCTCGTTTTTATATACAATCAAATGAAATCAATAATCGACGATCTTATTATGGGTTTCAATAACAGGAAACGTCACTGCGTTATTGAACTTGCCTTGAAGTTACATTTTTGGGCATCGAAACGAGGACCGTTACACCGATATTAACGTCGAAGCGTGAATCATATGCGACTCAAAACGAAGTCCGCGCGTGTTACGACCATTTAAGATTTAAGAGACAATTACTGTCATAAAAGTCTGACGTCTAAGTACTATTATAATAAGAATAGCATACCATGCAACGCATTAACCGTGATTCGTCGACTCGTTAGGTCCGTCTCATAACGTTGATTTGAAACGCCGAGAGATCTCCGTTCTCCAGAAGGCGACACGACCTTTCTCACGTCACACGTATATTTCGGCGCGAGCACTTCCTCACTGAACTTCCACTTCCCTCGTGCCTCGATTTAGAGACCATGCGTCGTACGGTGTCGACGGGTGTAGATTAAAGTTCGACCGGAGGCAACGACGTGCACTGATAAGATCCAGACGATATTCACGGTGCACTATGGGCTATATAAAATGATCTCGGTGAACGATACGATTCGCGAACCAAGACGAATGAGTGACACAGGAGAAACGGAACGGGCGTGTTCGACAGAACTTTTCACGCGAGCCTAATACCGATCTCTTCCGCGCACCGTTCGTCCATCCGGTTAGTCAACTGGATGGTACCTGTCTGGCTGTACCTCGTGCCACGGCATGTGCTGGAATCGCGTGGCTAAGTCATAAGCGGCGCCTTCGGACAGGGATCTGCGGCCGTCGTGGTGGTGGTCGAGGAAGGTTACGGTGGTGGAAGCAATGGTAGCAGCCGGGAAAACCGATCACCGGGCGAATCGGGCGAAGTGGGGTCCGTCTTCGGAAGGCAGCGGGTAACGCTGCCGCGCGACACCGTGTACCCGGGAGGAGGAGGAAAAAGAGACCGCCGATGGAAAGAGAGTACGCGAGCCAGGAGAAATCAAAGTGGGCCAGTGACCAGGTCACGTGGAGAAGAACGAGGCCCAACGCGCACGACACCGACACACTGTCCTACTCATCGTTACTGCTGCTCCTGATGCTTCCTATCTGTCCATTCAGGAAACGTATCGCGATGCGTCCAAGCTTCCCTGCGGTCCGCAGATCGATCAGATTACCAAGATTCATTACTCCGATTGTCTCGCGGAGTCTGTCTCTTGGTATTGGTACAGGACTCTAGCCTACATTACCTGTGCGGAATAAATATCGAGCATCCGTTTAGTAGACGAAGTCTATTCCCTTTAAGTTTGTCGAAAAGGCTGAGTTCGATGATAGAGAGTGATAAATCGTAGTAGACCAGAAATTGCTAAGTACGGTGGAGGCTATTTAAGTAACTGGATTCTTCAGAATGGTTGTGGTAAATAGAAAACCTCTTACGGTTCATTTGGCAATAGAAACCAAATGACTCGCTGCATTCCTGTTCAACTTAATTAGGTATCCGTGAATGTTTAATTAGAGAAAAATGAAATTAAAATGACTCTACAACTTTCATAACGATCAAGCGACTTTGGTTCGGTCTAATGTACTTATTTTGTTAAATCATTTATGAAATTGATCGTTTCCGCACACGTGACACGTTGAGAAGTTTGTTCACGAAACTGGAACAAAAGGAAAACTGGCATCGAAAACGGAGGGACGGCAACGGCCGAGAATCTCAATCGATCGAATTTCACTTCATTTCGGAGTCAGGGCATCAATCTGTGCCAGCCGCTTATGACAAATCGTATTCGCCGTCTTGTAAATCCGCAATTACGATACTTACGCGTCAGTTACGAATGACTAAAATATATAAAACAAGAATGAAATCGCTCGGTGTAATAATTTAATCGCAGTAGAAATTTTACACATGAAACACATAAATATTTTTTATTATAAAACAAATTTCAATTCACAGCGTCTTATTTTATATGCAAACGATAATTATTTAAAGAAAGTCAACGTTGTTCGAGATGAAACGAAGTCTGCATTCCCCGATGAGTCGAGAGTCGAAATCTCATGAGGTCGACGCCGATGTCGCGAAGTGTGTCAAACCTCACAGAGGCATCCTTTACGGTACCTTCGTTGCTCACCTTGTGACTAAGGAATTCCGGATAAAATCTCATCTAACATCTCAGCCCCGGCGTTACAACGCACGACCGCACGACGCGGCTATGGTTGCACATGGTCCTACGGAATAATTATGCATCCGAACCTCTGTGTATCCATGGTGCACGCGTACGTGTACCACAGGGATATCGTGTAAAGTTCAATTCCCGATCGTGACTCGTTCCAAGTAGGCCAGGACCCGTACCTCTCGGCACTCTCAATGTTTCCATTCTACAGGCATCCCATTTATTTAGGAGCATGTACCACCGTTGAAAGTAGATGTAATTGACTGCTGAATACTCTCTGGCTGGAAATTACCGTTTGTAGCGCGTCGCGAGAAGTCAGTGTTCGAACAATAAATCAGGCTTGTTCATTTTTCATAGGAACGTTGCTGTTACGTTCGCCGTAAACAATACAATTTATACAACACGGCCTGTTGTTTAGATAAAATAGTAATGACGGTGTACGCGATTTATAATGCGAATCATCTCGCATGCAATTCCTGAGACAATTAGATACGATCTACGCTCTCACGCACTGTCCCTTGCGTTCGTGCGTCGTGATAAGATCTTCGATTACGCAATGTTCCTGCGGTCTACCCAGTGTTTAATAGAATTCGCGTTTTCATCATTAGGTATCAATTGAGACGTCGAGATAAAACAGGGGGACCGTGTACGAGTCTGCTCGTTGACCCGCGTATGTACAGTTACTTCGGCCGTTGAATTGATCGCTGAAAAGAAGCGATGAATCTTCGGCATGGGAAATTAATCTCGGTGGCTAGACGGCGCGAATGGTAGCGGGGAATTTTTCTTTTTCCCCCCACGGGACGTGACGCGAATCTTCGATCGTGATCGTGACTCGGTTTTAAGTAGGTCACCACTCGTTCGTCTTCAAATGGATTTTACATCTTCGCGAGTTCACGGGGCATACGCGGAACGCTTTGTGCACATACACGTCGGCAGTAGTGAGCGTCGGTAACGTTTACCAGGTTTCTCTTAATTAAAGTTATCACGGTAATTAACTGCAGCGTGCGTAACGATCGTCGAATACAATGCTCCTATTACCTCACGAAGGTGCAACAGCAGTGAAAGACGTACGACGATTCTTACGTGTTAAATGAGTGTGTTAAAGCGTACATTGATTATTTTATAAAGTCAAATACGTATTTCCTCCGCTCACAATTCTAATAGTCATATATTATGTATTTATAGAAAAATGATATTGGCAGTGAATATAGTGTTTGTTAAAAAATATTAAGAGATGAGAGTCTGTTATAATATTTACATGATAAAAAAAATGTCTATTTATAATTCATATTTTTTAATTGATTCGATTCATGTTTTATTTTGCATGAAAATCCTCAATCCATTTATGTATGTAAAAATAGTACAATAATGTATTATAAAAGAGTAGAGTAGCATTTGTATTTTAATCTCAGAGCTTGGCAATTTTTCTCAAGTAGGAGAGGAGATTACAAACTTCTTTCTTAATCTTGCAAAAGAATTCGAATAAACGGATGCGCATTTCCTGGGTGTAAATGAAAATAAAAAATGCATATACTATAAATTAATACTGATAATAAAACAGTTTCGTTAGAATATTTTGCGTAACTATACATTTTTTTATTAATCTCCGATGGTTCTGAGAAGAGATCCTTTAAAACATTTGGGTCACGACACCCTAACTGGGAAGGAACAAGGTGAAACAATCGATGGTCATGACCCAGGACACGCTCCATAAAACTAGGTCAGAATTTAGCCGCGTCTTTTCACGTACATAATTTTTTTACGCTAATGAATTTATGCTTACTATTATGCGGGACATTCTCTTATGGCGTTTGACCTATTCTTCGGTACAGCTGTATCATGTGAATTTCACTTTTCAGAGAATTCGACTCTACAAGAAAGGTCATATGCAATTTTTCCGTATGTCCAACGGTTTGGGAGTTATTGGCCAAAAACGAAAAGGAAGAAATTGAAGGAGTACCTTTTGGAAAAATCTCGGAGAAATCGAAAATTTGTTGTTGTTGTTTATTATTAGTCATGTTCTTCCGACGTCTGATTTCTTTTTAAAAAATGCGTTTCTAAAGTGCATAAACTTTTGGGATTGACTGTATAGCCAATACATCCTTAACACTATTTCCACCAAATGTCAAAAGACACCTTTTGAAATTTTCGCCTAAAATTATTATCATTAGTTTAATCGTTTTTCCTCGATTTAATTAATTAATTTAACAACCAGTATAGGAAAAGTCAAAAATTTAATTGAGGGAAAGATATTAAATTAATAACAATAATTTTAAGCAAAAATTTCAGGTGTCTTTTGACACTGATAGAAATAGTGTTAATTATTATACCTGTGCTGATTCCAGTATGTGATAATGAACATCGTGGAATCTAAATTTAAAATTGGAACGCTCAGAGGCCGCAGGCTCCCCGTCACTGCCATATGTTTAATGAAATCGTTCGCGGTTAGGAAACGAAATGGTCAGCGTAGGTCGCGAAATCCATTTGTGACGTAATTCTATAGCAGTAAGGTCAGACCATGACCCTGCCCTCGAGCCCGATGGTAGTGATGTTCGAATAGGATTCGTTGATCGATCAGGGTGGCACGCTAGGCGCCGACGCGACTCGCTCCTTTCCGAACCAGGACTACAGTCCAGACCAGGATCAGATCTTTTCAGCGTACTACTTTTACCCACGTTCGCATGTTAAATACCAATATGCACATATTTGCATATCGTTTATGCTAAACCGCTTTCGGTTTAACAAATGAAGTTTTACGGGTTTCAGATATAATAGGATTGTAGTTCGTATCTTTGTACAGTACCTTTAAAACTGTGTTATGCACGGAACAAGTCGATGAGTATCATAGTTTACTGATTTTATTAAAGTGCATCGCGTGTAAATTCATTTCATGATGATTTATAATTAATTAATTAATTAATTATACAGATTGGCTAATTAAAATGTATTTCCGTCAGGATTTATAATGGAACGAGGCTCAGAAAAACTCAAGTGAATTTTCATTCGAGAAATACTGTTCAAGTATGTCGAGGCAAAAAGCGTAAAAATTATACAAGCAAGATTGCGTGTTATGTGGTATAATCATCGATACAGGGCATCGGTGCAACCGCTTTTTTCCGAAAGAATTAACTTTCTCAGAGATGTCACACAAACGTGCAGTCTGTGTGACACGATTCTTCTCTGAATTTCTATATTCCCTAAAAAATTGATCAAAACTGAATTAAATGCTACAAATAGGATCTAAATTCTTTTATTAATACTAATTTTATTTGTACGAATGTGAGATGACTTTAGAAGTTTGTTTTTCAAGTGAAACTTTGAAATAACCTACTGACTCGGATAATACCTGACCGGAGGAATTTGCATGGTTTGTGACAAAGAGCGGCGGGTGAAGGCCAGCGGCGCGTGATTACGAGGCGATGGCTCGGCTACCTGCTGCTGCCCGCACAGTTTCGTGACTTCATAAGGAAAAGGCGGAGGTAGTCGCTGGCTTTCTCCAAAGCCACTTAACCCGGTCCAGTAACATCCATCCACGAACCGTCACGCCTGAACCGTGACATTCCCGATTAGCTCTCGTGTCTTCGGTAACGCGGAAATCACACGCGCCTCGTTTTCGTTTTTCGCGCCTCCTCCCATGCAACTGCATTACGGCCGCTTGTACAGGTGGTTCACGTAATTTTACGATCGTATAAACGCCAGCCGATTATCACCTGTCCATTGTTTCCCACTGACGAATCAATTATATTTCAGTTACGTTTTACGACTGTCCCAATTATGGGTTACGTCTCAATTATTCTTCCTCGTAATGTTAGAAGATTGTCTAATAAGTGTTATAGAAGATTGTTAGCGAATTAAGTGCGCTATAAAAAATCAATGAAAAAAATTTAGCAATTTTTTCAGGTCTGACGTCGTGAAACACAATTCTACTAATAAGGTACAAGGTTCATTTGGTAAAACTGTTATGCCTTGTATGTATGGAAGTCGAAACTGAATCTGCGTGAGGTGTTTTACAAAAGGAGGGCTCCAGGAAATATGTAGGTCTCTGTTCTTTTTGCTGGGAGCAAGTGCTTCGAACGACTTCATGCATAATCAGATTTGATAGAGACATGTCCCGTGAACGGTATTTCGCGTACCTGTCCAACGATCGACGGAATCTACGGAATGTTTATCGGACGTCGCGGTGCGGAATTTAAATGCGGGAGATAAATGCACGGCGCGAGATCGACCTAGGAAGGAAGGATCATTACACGACGATGTTGGTAGGGAGGCGAAATCAAAATTGACATACTAGTTAAAAATCTGAAATAAACGACGTGAAAGGAGAGAGAGTTTGACGACGACGACGTGACACAATGGGGCGCGACGATCCGCTTGCTCCATTCGACTAAAAACCGCGATACTTTCTAGGCCAAATTGTAATCGCTTGTCGAGAAAACGAGGGTTATACGATTTTCTACGATTATCTGTAACACGTTCCCTAATAACCTTTTTTAACCGGCCGCTTTCTTTATATCAGTCACAGCCACTGATGCATGAACCACTGTCTCTAACATACAAACTAAAGCAATTAAACTGCATCATGCGAAATCATAGTTTTAAGTATTTTAAAAGAGGTTGTACAGATTTTTCAATTTTATTATTTTGTAAATTAGGATTTTAATTAATTGCTTTATGAATTTTTGTGAATTGGAACAGGTGCATTCTGTCTATAATTGCATATGATTATGGGAATTCATATTTTTTATTAGATTTTTCATTTTTATTATTTTATAACGTAGGATTTAAACTAATTATGTTATATGCTATAGATATTAGAACAGATGCATTCCTTCTATAATTGCATACAAATCTGCAATCAAGTTTTCTGAAGCTTTGTACACCAATTTTGAAGATCCTATGAGAAGTTCATTATAAAGGAAGATAGTCTGATGTTAGATGTGCAATATTTGAATGTAAATTCGAAGAAAAATGAAAGTCTCGCGAAGTGCTAAATGCAATCTTTTGATGTTATAACAAAACATTATTGGGTTCAAATAAAAGCAGTAAACAGTAACAGATATCCGCCGATATAATAAGCCGATAAGAGCAATCGAGATGTGAATACTTGAATTGGAAGTAGATCACTCGTCAAATAAAGTTGTTTTTAATAAAATAACACCAATAGGAGTTTTCAATTTCCATGTCTTTAACGCTCGTTTCCCCACGTGTTTTAGAAAGTCGTAGAAAATTGTTCCGCTTCCATAAACAATTTCCAATAAAAAAAAAAATCCCAATACCTGCTAAACGAATTGAATCTGTCAGCTATTACAATTTTCTCTTCGCGATTTCGCTTGAACCGTGAGAAAAGCGACAGCCCATTATTTGAAAATTTCATGGTCGTTCAATTAACTCGCAGTCCGTAACGTGGGTGAGGCGTGGGCGAGGTTCAAACCTCTGCTCGAGATTGGTTCGTAAATATCAACACCCACATTGATTGCTTGCACCGGCAAACACGAGACACAGCGGATCGAAGGGAATGCATAGCTGGGGACAGGTAATCAAGCGAGAGCCGTTCTTTCATAAGTGAAAACACATCGGTTTTTCTTTCCTCTTTTTCAATTCCTCACTGGTGTATAAATACATACATAGATATCGAGGGGCAATTAACATTGTTAAGTACATACAAGGGTGAAAGATAACAGAGTTAAGTATATGTAGTACGCATCACCAATCGGCCGGGTATTTACAAGTTTCGGGTTTTATTCTTCCATCTCCGTAACCGCAACATACTTTAATAAATTATCTGCTCGCATGCGCCAACGCTGGCAGACGCTTTCTAACGAGTTTACTTAATAATTTATTTATTCACAGAACGTTGCGATTTATTAACAAATTATATTCATATACAGAAAAGATATACAATTTGTAAATTATATGTTATAATGATTAAGGATGGGAAGAAGACCATCAGTCGTCTTTATTACATTCCTTAAATTATTTAATCGTAAAAGTCTGCACCATCAATGGCACATGCGATCGAATATATATGCGTACATGTGTACGCCTAATACATCTGTACACGCCTGTTTATTATATAAATCATCGTATAAATTAAATTAAATAATTTCGTTTGCGTAACAACGATTTATCGTGACAATTCCATTCACTTCCTCATTACCCTCATAAATCCTCGGTGTCACACGTCAATGATCGATTAAATAGATGTTGATCCGATTGTGCTATGAGCCATGATCATAATCGTTCTAGCGTGTTTGATTCTAATATCCGTGGCGTTAGAACAGGCATGTCCGAACTGCTGTTTCGAGGGTGGGTGCATTCCCATTTACTTCCTGACGAGGTAGAAGCTGAGCTGAGCTACCTGAGCCGAACATAGACAGTTGCAAAGTAGTGGAGAAATGATGTTGTTTAGTATAGCTGACAATAAGCAAGCAGCGTAGGCTTATTAGTTCCTCTATTGTCGTCGTGTACTGTTGATTTCTACCCACGTTACGCGCTCGAGTGACTGACGAATTTAGAAAATCTGATCTCGATCGGTGACCATTTGCCTATACTACATATACGAAAACTATTGTACTTCGTGAACTTTGAATGAGTTCATTCACTGCGAGTGTACGCACGTTTGTTTACTATTGCATTCGACGAGGTCGGATTATCGTAGGCGAAATCACAGTTCCGAAGCCAATACGTCATACGTCAGCCCTGATCGATACGAGCGAACGGGTGCTCCTCGGAGCGCTTCCGTGGACATGCCTGTGTCAGGAGATATTCCATGACGGAAATGAGATTTGTGATATTGAATGAAAATTATAATTCTACAAGCTGAGATTGATAAATTTGCATTTGAAGCTCTTTTCAGAAAAATGACTTGAAAAATCTGTTGAGTTTACATAGGCAATATTCACTGGTCTTCATAGAAGCCAGTGGCCGTACCGCGACGTCTTATTCTACTTCGTATCGATAACGCAGGAAGTGATATTACAGATTACAATCTTTTTTCTTTTAATTCACCGAAAATCTTTTCTGAAAGAATTGTTCTTATCTAAAATGAATTTATTTTTAGAATGTTGATTAAATCGAAGTATAGAAATTTTCAGAATTACAGGGATCGACACCGAAATGATAAAACGTCTTCTGTACAATTTTAGACACGTTAACTTTTCAGTCGCTGAGATTCTTCTTTATTAATATAAAATCGAACGATCTGCATAATTTCGGTTCAATCGGTTATAACACATTTTCATGAATACAACTGCGCTTTCTGAAAGCTCCAGGAAGCTCTGCAAACTCTGCAAGTTCCGTGCAACGTTCTTATCGTCAATCGATCTGAACAACTTTGCTTATGAAATTGGAATATCCAAATAATAAAAAGACCGAGGGTTTTCATGCAAGATTTCAACATTAAAGAATTCTTGTAAATACAATCTTTTAGACCTTTTGTCTCAATGACCCGATTCATTTAATTTGTCGAAGTTTTAAATATCACAACGCAATTCGAGTCCATCGAAGAGCATCGACGATATCGAGATAACATGTTAGAAGATATAATCGTTATTTGGCATTCGTGGCAGAGACACCCCATGCTGAACATCTTATATTATACCAACGCTGATCCGTTGATTCATTCTCCGATCGGAAGCCGTGACGTCGGTCGCCTGTAGACAATTTTATGTACACACATAGATTTCGGGACTACGTAACCGCACGTGTACGATAAGCCCGCTGATACAATCGTCGGAAAGTCCACCACGCGCGTTTAATAAGTCGCGTAACGTTTCATAAATAAATCGTACATTGCGTAGTAAGTACTAAACGTTAATCTCATATTGGATATCGCGTTCAATTTTCCTAAAGAAAACCGTTGCGTGAATACGCATTGGACAGGTCTTTAAAAAGTCACTCAGTGTCCAGTTTTCTATTAGATCGAATACCATATTCGATTTTCCTAAAGAACACCGTGTCATGAATATGCATACGTCTTTAAAACTTAATCACTCAGTGTCCAGTTTTCTGTTAGATCGGATATCGAGTTCTACCCTCATTAAGAAGACTGTGTATGCACGTAGATGCGACCTCTCTGAAAGATCACGTCTGGTTCCCCTTAAGGAAATCATTGCACATTCGCATAAAATTATGTACACGAATTTGGTCATCGAATCGCGATTCTCCGTCGCGTTTCACCAAATGTATTTGTCCCGTGAATGATCAGATCATCCGTCGAATCGAATTTCTGCTTAGAATTGAAGAATTTGATTGATCCATTCACGAAACTCGGAGATGCGAGTATAAACGCCTGGCTGGTTCGGTACCGCGCAGCCGATGCCCCAACTGATCACCCCGGCCAAGATCCATCGTTTGTCGCGCGCTCTCTGGATCACCATCGGTCCTCCACTGTCGCCCTGCAAATAGACCAATCGATGTGTCACCCCTTTGATCCTTTAAAAGGGAAATGAATAATGAGGAAAAAGACGTGAGAGAATAAACGGAGCATTCAATGTATTTTTATCGATCTCGTAAAAGATAGAGAAACCTTTAGAGGAGTTTCTCTCAGGAGAAAAAAAAAAAAACTTTTCCATTAAGTTTCTTGCAATCGCCTCGTTCCCATTTGGGCGCTGGTCTATTCTCGAATATAAAGAGAAACGAAATAACAAAGTACAATCGTGTCAATTTGAATGAGACATGATCTTCCTTTTTTTTAATATAATTAGAATTTGGTTTTAAATAACTAAATAAGTAAATAATTAAATTGACCTACCTCGCAAGAATCGAAACCACCGTTCTTCCACCCAGCGCAGATAAAGATGTGCGGTATATGTTCGATGTACCCGGCGTTTCTGTACATGCCTTCGCACATCGTATTATTAATCACAGGCACAGCCACTTCTTGAAGGGTAGACGGTAGCGGTCCCTCTAGCAATTCAATTTCAACCGTTATTTCTATGATATTAAAGTTAATGTTATTTCATTCGATTGGAAAATTGTATACCGTCGTAGAGTCGACCCCAGCCAGTGACGAACGCGGTGCGACCGACGTAAGTCTCGTCGTCGTCCGGCAGACAGATGGGCAGGACGTTCGGTTGGAAGGGTAACAGAGGCTCGTAGAACCTCAACAGTGCCAAATCGTACTCGAAGGTCCTAGGATCGAATTGTGGGTGGCTAGCTACGATTTGGACTCTTCGCTCCTGGTAACCGTATGGTTCGTCCTCGTTCGCGAGATCGTGCTCGCCGATCCTCAGCAATAAATCGCTTGGTGGCACGCTGTGAATTATTACATTTACAGTTTATTCATTTATTCATCTGCAATTTATTTATTTAAAATTCTGTGTAACTAAAATTGAAGTCCACGATTAGACAGATAAAATTTATTCATCTTCTAAAGTTTACTTTATTCGTAGAATTAATTAATTAGCGAGCAAGCGTAATGAAGGGAAACTGTATTGATTGAAAACCAGATAGATAAACATGATACTAACTTTTCGACGCAATGCGCTGCGGTGATGGCCCAATTCTCATTGAGCAAAGCTGCTCCGCACTTGTGTAGATACGTCGACGTCCTCCATTGCCGTAACGAGATCTGGAAAGAAAACATTCATCTTGTTTAACGAAGAACGATCCATCGCTTCGCAATTCTGTGTACCAATTATGAAACTAGGCTCCGGAAAACAAGGAAAGAATTACGTGTAAAAGCTGATGTATCAAGTGACGTCTAATACGATAAAACGAAAACAAACTGTGGAGTGTATATTATTTATAATTCAATGTGAAATGGAAAATAAAATTATATCTTTTTTAAAAAGAAACATCTATCATATCTCGTATCAAGAATTCAGGCTTAATTATGGGATTATGGATAAAAAGTAAAATGAGGAAAGTATGTTAAAATGATTATATCAACGTGAATTCGTATTGTCCATTGGAATTATTTTAATGTAAATAGAAAAGGAATGAATAAATTTTTAATGGGTTCAACGAAGACCTCTGCTCACCTGCCAAGGCCACTTGCCGAACGAACTGCGATTACCACCAACGATTCGCGATTCTGGAAAGAGCCTTCTTCCGCACACTGCAAGAACAAGCATCGTGGTATTTAATCCCTTCAACAAATTCTCAAATTTCATAGAGACAGCCATGTTGGAGAACACGCTGCTGCAATCACCACGAACGCTTCTGAGGCAGTGAATCTTTTCCTTATGCGATTACAAATGCTATTATTTTCATTTAACACATGAAAATGAAGTCACTTTTTTCCTTATGCGATTACAAATACTATTATTTTCGTTTAACACATGAAAATGAAAATCGTTCGCGGCTGGATCAGTTTATAGACGAAACTCGATTACCTCATCACTGCATACGATTCGTTTTGCTAATTGTACATGTAAATTTGTACCTCTTAATATTTCTTATTACTTCCGCAATCGTACACACTGTAGAATCTGCATTTGCATATGCAAAATCAGATTCAATAAGCATTCAGATTTCTCTATTATCGACAGCTTCAAATAATCTCCACGATTATCTAATCATCATCGATGAATCAATCTTTTTTCATAATGCAATTCTCTGACATAAAAATGTACGAAGACTGATTTTGATCAAAATCGAAATGAAATGAGTATTGTTCAATCAATTGGATTTAATGAATAAATATTCTCTCCTCAATTTTTGTCTAAATTCTAAATTTATTTTAATAATCTCACCTTGTTTGTAATCCGACATATTGAGAGTCTCCATCGGTACCGGAAGCTCGGTGTCTATAGTTACACTAGCAATACTCGACAAGGTAGTTAAAGTAACAGGCCTTTTCGTCACATGTTCCGTGCTAGTTTCAATAATCGGTTTAGCTAGAAAATCATCAATTTCTATTAAAGAAGAGTTCTAGTTTCACGAGAGGTAAAGAAATGTATGAACGAGGAAGTGAGCCATACCGAAGGTCGATGCCTGCGACGTAGTTTCTACAGAAATTTTATCTGTCGTTTCTTCCACCGTTTGCGGTGGTTTTTTGGTACTAGGTGACTGGATCATGATCCAACCATCTGGCGTAGTTATGGGTGTCCAATCGCTTTCGGTTTGATCTACGAAACGATCCAAGAAATTACTGTGGGGTATACTAAATTCCAAAGTATATACATTTTTTTTAAGGATTAAAGAAACAGCAGAAGTCTGAGAGAATGATATAAAAAGCGGAATAATCGACGGGGACAATGTTCGCAGAAATTAGAGCAGAGTGCAGTTATTGGGAAATAATTCGACTGGTTTGAATTACAACGGGTCGGTGCCGAGAGGAGAGGGAGCGGATGCTGTTCACGAACCATTCGGGAGAAAAGATTACGGTGGACGGTTTAAACCGTTACATCGTTCTGGCGCAACAGAATTTCATCTCCTATCGATACCTACGGCGAGCTCGACCTTTGATTCTTTAATGAAACACCCGTTCCCCCGACACGATTTACTCGTATCACAAAAGCGATTATTTTTAATACGATACATGAAGACTCTTGCATATTGCAACGAGTAGAGATGCTCAAGCAGATACAGAAACACATTTTGCAATCATAATTATAATCCTAGGTTCTTAACATTTTTCAAACGTAATTCTGATACGTCATTTATTCGCGGGGTATCATTAATCGGTGACGTAACACCCAGGGAATTCGACGAGTTTATTAAAACCGAACAGTAGGGAGATTCGCGTGTAATCAATCAAACTGTCACGGTTCTCTCGATATGCTGGTTAATGCAGGAGGCGTGAATTCTCACCGAGACGATTTCCCATTGTCGACGACTGCGTCAACGTCACACAATAGATACATATTCGTGCTCTTCGATTTCACCACGAGTATACAAGCATTGTACGAAAACTTTTCGCCGCTACTCGATTGCAGAATCTTTTAATTGCAATTCACCAAACGCGTTCCATTTAACGCGATGCATAATTTTCATGCAACATAAAATATTTATGATAGCAGTTTGAAAGTCGCGTTTTAGACAAACTGAATCGTATTGTTCATTCAGCATTTCTGAAGATTCAATCTTTTCATAATTTCATAAAATCCGTAATTTAATTACTTTCTTTTACCTTTTCACAAGTGTTCGAATACTTCTGCAAACTACTAGTTAGCCCGATACCGTTACGAATCGAACGCATATTTCAAGTTATTGGTTTGAGGCGAGCGTTAACTGTTAACTCACCTAGTTGCGTGGTCGATGAAATCTCCGGGGTCCTGGTGGTGGTATCGTCCGAGCTCGATGTCCATGTAACGAGACCAGGCGCGTAAGTCGTCTGCGAAATCTCCTCGGTTTGATTAAGAATCGGGGGTTTAGTCGAAGAAGACGATCCGATCGTAGACGTGTCGACGGATGGAACAGACACAAAGCTCGTTTCCGTCACGGTAGTGCCGATCGTTGGGGGTGTCGTCGGTTTGGTGAACGGCTTCACGGGCCTCGTCGACTCCGTTGGCAGTTTCGTAACAACAGTGGAAGCATTGGTCGAAACTACCGTTTTTTCTGTGGTCGCCGCGAGTTCAGGTTTGGGTACCGTTTTTGGAGTCGTCGTGCTGATCTTCGTCGGTTTGGGCCTCGAAGCTGTCGTCGAAGGCCTCGGGGTCGTAGTTCGAATTGTGGTCGGCTTCAACTTGTGAGTAGGTTTCGTAGTCGTCGTCGTGAGCTTCTGTGTCGGCACGGTTTCAGAAGTTAAAGGTTTCGTTCCTGTCGAAAGGGAAACGCTTTCGGTGCTCGTAGCAATTGTTGGGCGGTCCTTGAGAGTCACGAGTGGTCTCGGTGTCGTCGTCGTCGTCGTCGTCGTCGTCGTCGTTGTCGTCGTCGTGCTAAAAGTGGAACTAACAGGTAGCTTCGTCGTAGGCTTCTTAGTAGGTTTTTCGACAATTGGTTTCTTCGTAGTGGTCGGCCTCTTTGTGCCACTGGTCGTCGGTCTCTTGGTACTGGTAACAGGTCTTCTGGTAGTAGCTTGCGTCGAGGGTCTGCCAGTCGTCGTGTTTCTCGGTGGAAATCTCGTGATCGGTACGACTCTCTGAGTAGTCGTAATTACGGTTTTCGAGGTAGTGGAGTCGATCGTGCTGGATTGAAGAGGTTTAAGCGTGGTTGTCTCCGTAGGCCTTTGTATTGTGGTTGGGTGAATTGGCTTCTGCGACGACGACGATGACGACTGCGTCGGTTTTTGAGTCGTCGATGAATGAATCGGCTTTTTGCTAATCGGTTTGGTTGTTTGGGCGACGGTGGCCGTCGTTTTTGTCACGGTTTCGAGTGTCGTTGGCCTCGGAGCGATCGACGAGGTCAACGTCGAAGGTTTGCTCGTGGTCGCAATTTCCATGAGCGTGCTCGATGGTTTTTGCGACGACTGAGTCGTGATAGTCGTGATTCTTGTCGGGGTTTTTGTGCTCGACTCTTCTTTCGACGAGTTCTGGACGGTTTGGAAGGTCGACAATCGAACCGGTTGCGTGGTCGTTTCTATGGTCGTCGATGGCTTCTTCGTCACGAATTTTGACGTTTCCTTCACGGTCGTCGTTGACACCCGCGTACTCGGCGTCGTGTAGCCTGTCGTCTCCTGAGAATTTGTAACAAAGGAAGAGTTAGAAATTTCATAATTTCAATTTTAACTGTTACTACGAAGACGAGCCAGAGGTCAAAGTTCAAACGCAATTAACGTACCAAGAATTTAATTTTCGGTAAAGCATTACCGAAGTACAATTTAGTTAAAAGATAGGATGAAATTGACTTCGTTAACTGGTTAAGAATGAAAATTCATTACGAGTTGCACGATTATTTTTAACAATTTTACATACTTTTTTAACATCGTTAAAACAAATATATGCACATTTATTAATACACGAACGAGAAAGTGCACTTGCCTCGGTGGAGTACGTCACGGGTTTCTTCTCGCTGATCGGCTTCGGCCTTGAAAAGTACTCAGGTATATCGTTGCTGTCGATGGGCCCATGGGTCGTGAACGGCCTCGCCGGGGGTCCATCATCGATGCTGTTGTCCTGGGGAAAAATCTCGGGCTCCTCGTCTATCTTACAACAGCTACCGAAGTAGAAGCGGTCGATGCAGGTGCCGAGGTGCGTTCCGTTCGCCTTCGCGCACGTGAAAGCGAACATGCACACGCCAGTCTCGCCGGTCCGCCGCGACACGCAGGGCAGGTGCCTGATATTCCTCCCGGTGCCTGCGAATAATCGCATTCAATCTTTTAAAAATAACAATAATAATAATAAAAGTAAACTTCCAACCTCGAAATGCAGCGATCATTCCACCTTTCGTGATTACTTATCGTGGAACTGGATCAAATTTTTCGACGCGATGACGAACGAGATTATTCGTATCTGATGCTCTATAGCCGTGCTCACGTTCTACATTCGTACCTTAATATTTCAAGCAGGTGTCGTCATCGTTTCTAATTCCTCTTAATCGGCCTACTGTGTGCAGCCACGGTTCTGTCACAGTTAATGAACGACGGAGCACCGTAATCGATTAATAATCGCGTCAAAAGAAGCTGCAAATCTCTCGACCGAGCCGCATTGCCTCCACTATCTAATTGCATCCGTTATTCTGAACTTGTTTAGCAGTAATAAAATATCAGCGATTAAATACTATAGAATCAGTATCAAGAAATGAATGTCAGACTGCAGAATGAAATTTTATGTACATTTTTTTTCTTTTTCCCACCCCTTTTTATTTTTAATATAAGCTGTATTTTGTTGTATTTATTTATTTAATGGGCGTTTACTCGTGAATAAACTATTATTAGTATTATTATTATTAAATTCATCTTGAAAATTCATAAATCATGAAATGCATAAAATGAATCAAGTATTTATTGTAGTTTATTTCCGGAGGGTAAGATTGAAATTCTCCGATATACAGACTCAATGTTATTTTCACTATTAACTCTTATAAATTAGGAAAATAATGTTACGTGAAGTTTGTAACACGGTGAACGGGTATTGGATGATCTTGAATCGATTGGACGGCAATGATGCATGCTAATTGTGGTGGTAGTACGTAATGTAGCGGGCGTTATCGAGGAACGAATTGATGTCAGCCAAGGCGAAGCATCTCGGTACCGTTACGTTTCGATGTATGAGCTACTTGCCCGACCCAAAAGTGGGTCACAGTCATAGCCTAATGTAACAGCCCGTTTACCTTTAAGACACCTCGCGATCTCGGCTCGGTCTCGTTATTCCTTCTATCTAACGAAATTCTCGCGCGCATTCCAATCTTCTTTCACGCCCAGATTAAATCTATACCTCGAGTTATCGCGCAATGGAATTCTGAACGTTCACATTGAATTTTACCATCTCTCTTTTCTGTTATTTTATTATACACCCTGAATCCTATATGAACTATCATATGCAATTACTTTTACTTCAGTAATTTTATCAATGCCGTGTATGAATCATACAATGCGATTAAAAATAGTACATTGTGTACCTAGGGCGCAAAATAGGGCATTCTAGCAC